AGGTATAATTTTTGATTATTTAACAATAAAATCCAGAATAATTTCAAAATACTCGAAGTTGAATCTTGTAATCAAGAGAATCTGAAATTTTTACTTGAAAGAGTCTGAAGTCGATTATTTCAATTATTGTTTTCGAGACATTTAATTAATCTGTTCACACCAAGGCTTACCGTTATTATTTATATTGAAGTTATGTTTCCGTTGTTATCTGTTCATTTATTTATTTAAGAAGTAGAATAATGAATTACCGAATTCGAAAATGTCAGAAAATATACAAGATATAACATGATCCATTCGAAAATATAGAGGTGAGGTCAATTCCAGAGAAAAAATAGCATATCAAGAAAATTCCAAAGATCTCTTGAGCCACTCAAAAGTTACCGGGGTATATCAAGTCTATTTCGTTATATATACTGAATAATACACAAAGATCACAACGTCATCTCCACGTCAATTTATTGTGAAAACTCACGGGTTCATTGTGAATAATCACATCAAGGGAACATGTTTTCGGACATACGTATGTCCATCATCAGCCTAATAAGAAATTACATAGTCCTACAATGAGAAAAATTAATTAACTAATTAACACGAGGAATCCTCAGCATAGATAGCTAACATGAAGGTTAACATTTTTTTATAATAACCGCAGAGAATTAAAAAACATGAAAGTCAAATGGTTAGTTGTTTCTAGGGTGATAACCATGAAAACCCCCATAGATGGGCATTATGGTGGATAATAAAATACCAAAGAGCCCCCTAACATTTGGGGCACTTCCATGAGCAAGTTGACGGTACAATGAAGAATTACTTCTATCTTGTTAAACAAACCATTAGGCTGATGATGGACATACGTGTGTCCGAAAACATGTTCCCTTGATAAGATTATTCATAATGAACCCGTGAGTTTTCACAATGAATTGTCGTGGAGATGACTTTGTGTATTATTCAGTATTAACCACTGTACTCTACTTTGAGAAACGATGGACTTCTACCAGAGACTATTTCGTCATGTTCAGTACGTTCTTAATTTCAAATTTAACCTTTGACACAGAAAATATAGTATGTTCCTTTTCACAATTATCATCTACTGATATTGTCATCATAATTTCAACGTTATACCACTTATTATAACTTCCTATTTATGTCTTAATGTTATGTAACATTCCCCTTTATTTCAGATTCATCTCTAGATGAGCTATCCCAGGAATCAACTATGCACTGTATGCAAAACGAAGTGTAAAATCTTGTAAAATGAATCTATTGTAAATATATTTATATATCATTATATTATCTGTTTACATGTTATATCGAGTTAGACAAAAACTGTTCAGTAGTCGAGAACAAAAGATTGTAATGTTGAATGTTCACAATATTCCTTACTTGTTTGATATTATTTCAGTTGTAAGTTTATATAATGAACGAACAATTTGAACTGATTATAATAAAATGCTTTACTGTTGTCTGCACCTACCAACATTTATTTCTTGTTATCTCTGAACTATACCGTATAATACGTGCATTTATATAGGTATATATATACTCACCAAATATCCCAGTGAAATTTGGGTGAGGGCTGGTTATATTGTCCTTATCTGATGACGTTTCATTAAATATTTGAAATGAACTGTATTGGGCTACGACGCTACATGATGTGAAACTTTTTGGAAACTTCGTCCCAGACGACACATCTGTGACACGACATCTCTGAGATGTCGCGTTCAGGTAACAGTGCGATATTACAAACGTTCCATCACTACGATGTTCATAAATAAACACATCTGCGACATGACATCTCTGAGATGAGGCGATAAGGCAAAACTGCGATATCACGAATGTTGCATCGTTGCGATGTACACATGTAGGCTTCTTTCGCAGAAATTGTGAAAAGTTTTATATTTAGAGTATTATTTGGGTGAAGAAGAATACATAAATATACGTTACTCAACAAAATGAAGCTAAATTCGCAAACATTCGTTATATTTTATTGCTATGAAACTATTCTTGGTTCGCTTACTTACATCTACACAAACTACCTCGCAAACTACATAATTTTTTATTCACATACGAGTAACAGATCTCAAGCTGGTAGATGCTGAAGATAGCGCCACTGAAAAGACGATTGAGCAAGGGACCACCAACAAGTCACAACAATGCATAATAAATATTATTAGATGTCATCAGAGATCAGTGGTGTATTATCACACCATGTTTGAGGAAACTTTTTTACGTCATCTCGCATCACATTGTATCAGTGTGTCCCACTTACCATGCTCACCATGGGTATCTTTATAACGGTGAGAGATACGAAGTCGGTTAAATGACACCAAATGTGGAGTTTGTCAAGGCCAACTATAATGTGAAAAAATATTTTGATAAAATCTATTCGTTTTTGTTTTATACGCAAAAAACAGATTTTGATCATTTTCATGTCTCCACCGTACCTTCTTTATTTATGAAAATATTCAAATAGGAATTTCACATTCTCATAGCAGTTTTTCAAAGTGATTTCGAAAAAAATATGAAATTTATACCAACTCTTCTAGAATTTGAGATAGCAGCACCAACTTTAGTTTTTCAAATGTGACTCATAGCTCACTAGGACTTAGTTACAAATATTTTTTTTTCTCTTACAGATGATATGTCGCAGTAATAGTTTTGTGTTGATAACGACGGAGTTATCGTCATTTATACAAAAACAAAAAACTATTTGGAAGGCGCCATCTTGAATTTATAAATTTTAACAAAAATATCATGATCTCCGACCTCAAAAACCCCCACTTACCAATTTTGAATGGAATCGGACCAAATCTTGTCCGCCATCTTGGAGCAGCCATTTTTCTTTTATCTCAACAAAAATTCCATAACTCCGATTAACACAGAGGGTAGTATTTGTAAAAAAGAAAGTCACCAGCGGCTTCTACGATCAAAAATAGGAACAAAAATTCCAATGAACATGAAATCATTCCAAAGTTTCATTCAGGAGTGTATAATACAAGGTGGGACCACATTGAATAATGCTCGAACTTTATTGTATGCATATTTATCGATAATTTAATCTAGGATTATAAAAATCCACAACGGTTCAAAAAAAAGGTTGCACTCTGATTGTTCCGCATCGATCAGATGTATCATTTTCGAGTGAAATCGATTTGAAAATATGGATACACTCACATATCTTATGCATATAACGTTGCCAATTTCCAAATCATATAGTGGCTATAAAAAAATCAACTACTTCTTTTTCACCAAACAATCTCATAGAAGCGCAAAAAATAGGAAAATGATGATGAGAAAACTTCAATTTTTGTGTATTTTTTTCCATATCAACTGCGACTCATTGCAATGTTATGCCATGTTATATGATATGCATAATATCTGAGATGTAACAATATTTTTAAATCACTTTTACTCGATATAATGATACATCTGATCGTTATACGGAACAATAATAAGAGTATGTATATTTCTTCTGTAAAGAAATAATGTGGATTTACATAATCCGAGATTGAATTGTAGAAAAATATGCATACATCAAATTTTGAGCAATAGTCAATGTAGTCCCACCCAGTATATTATATACAGGGTGTAACTAAATAAGGAAAAAAAGATAGGACACTCTATCAATATATTATATGTTTTATCTGTCTGATGTTTATCTGTGCATATTATATTATTATTTATATTATTTTATTTACAAACCCAGTATTTATACATTTTTACTACACTTTATCAATATATATTGTTATTGGAACTGAAATTAGAATTGAAATACAGTTAGAATTAGTAAAGAACACGCACGCACAGGCAATAATCTGCCTTAGTGAGTTTTGCGGTTTATTGAAACTATATTTTTAAATCCATATTGAACTGTATACAAAACTGTAGTTTTTCAATAAACTATATATTATTATTATTCGATATGATATCAGGACTATCATGAGTCATAGCCTGGACCACCATATATACAGGGTGTCCCTCTATATACGATCGAAAAATTGTTAAACAAATTTTATGTACCCTCTTCATAAGGAGCAGTATCTTAACATGGGATGCTATTCATCCATCCAATCTTTATAAGAAAGATCCTATCATTTTTCTATGAGGAATCACCCCCTCAAATGTTTTACACTTATTTAGTTACACCCTGTACTTTACTCCTGAGTGAAATTTTGAAATGATTTTATTTTCACTGCATTATTCTTGGTCATCGGAATAAGTTTAGTTCTGTACTGAATTGCATCTTTTTATCACATGAAGTTTCGGAAATACTCAAGAAATATCATCTTCAGGAGCTTCCTTTCAGGGGGCTATAGCTCCGTTGGGAGGCATTTCTCGTCTCATGTGTGCTCATGTTTATTGAACCTTTTATACTTATTTTCGATCGTAGAAGCCGCTGAACTTTGACAGGCTAATTTCGGGACACCCTGTATATATGGTGGTCTAGGCTATGACTCCAGATAGTCCTGATATCCCATCGATGGTCCATTTTGAACCATATTAAATGGGCGGGCGATTTTCAACTTTTGTATGGAAAAACTGCCGAAAACTCTAAATTTCAATTGCAAATGCCCATCGTCATCGTCCCATCGAGTTATTCTTATTAGGCCCACAGTTGGCTTGATTCTCGCCGCTGGCTAGACTCCTCATTCAGCCGACATTGTGGCTTGGTGCTTGGGTTGGTGCTTGGAGGGCAAGCTTGGAGGGACTCTAGTGCTTGGGAGCCTGAAATAACGATTGCCATCTATCAGCAGAGTGGTTTACTTCTTGTTGTAGGTACCACGAATAGCACCACTTATTAGAGTCCACTTATAACTGTGGCAGCGTCATGAATCCTCTTTTGATTTTTGACCACTAGATGGCAATAGCGTAGGTGATCTTTCAAGGTTGGTAGAAATAAATAAGATATAAACGATAAGGAACTCGTTGACGTAAGCGTAAGCATTCAGTGTCAACCTGTCAACTGCCAATGTCAATTTTCAATAAAATTCATCTACTCTCATTACTGTCAACTGTCATTCTGTTGTCCCTTGTTACGTAAACTGTCAAGGAAGAATTGTATTTTTACAATTTTTCCTATCAGCCTCGAGAAAAGCCAAAACTAAGGGCTTTTTAGTTGATAATCGTTAAATATCAGCTAGAACTGTTATATAGACACATATTAAAAGTTTGTGAAAGTTTAACATATAATTATTTAGGAACAACATGGCTGCAACAGTCGGTCGAATCTGTGGAGCTGGCTTATTTAAATCAAATAGTTTGGCTACCGTGAACCAGGTAATTGTTAGTTTTCACCTTCAACCCCAACTTTTCATTTAAATGATACATAATTCCATATTATTATCCCGAATAACCTGAGTTTTTCTCTTCAAGAAATGATGTTATGTCATACTTAACTTGATACATTGATCATTGAACTCTTTCTATAATAAAGAATATGTCTATTCCTTCTAGATTTCTTCATATTCTACAACAAGAGAATGGACAAGGGGCAGAAAAGCAGTAAGTTCTTATACAGATAGTATGAAGTCTATTTCTAAGTTCATACCTAGGTTATGATAATTATGGGCTGGTTAATCCTGACACTAGACTCATTTGCTAGCAATACTAATTTTTCAATATACAATATTGATAAAGTAATATGTATTTTATAGTTTTTAGGTAGTTTAGGATTGCTAGCTGGAGGTGCTGGTGCCCTTATGTACACCCTTGATCAATCTGTAAAGGCTACTGACCTAGAGTTGCATCCTCCGAAAAATATGTGGAGCCACAATGGTTTATTCAGTTCCCTTGATCATGCCAGGTCAGTGATAACAAAGTTGTAGTATCTTCATAAATAGGAAATGTCCAGTTTCCCTTTTTTTCTATATGAGATATCAAGTGTTAAATTAATCATTTTAGAGGATGTGTTGGACAATCCATGATTGTAGAGCCTGAAAAAACTGAAATATTGTGTTCCAATTTCATCCATGTATTTTGATATTATTCAAGTGGAATTACATTTGCACAAGTGCTGACATCAAAATAAGAAAAAAAGTTTATATAAACATAAATATTTTCATGATTTTGGAGGATTTGTTGAAAAATCCATGATTGGAGAGCCTGGAGAAACTGAAATATTGTGTTTCTATTCCATCCATGTTTTTTGATATAATTCAAGTGAATGGAATCAATCACAATTGCACAAGTGCTGACATCAAAATAAGAAAAATAGTTCATATAAACATAAGTCTGCTAGTTATTCCTTTCTGAGATACACAGTGTCAAGATTGGTATTTCAGTTTTATGTTGATAAATTCCAAAGTAATCATGATATTATCAAGTGAGATACCAAATTCAACTCCAATATCACCTTTATTTTTTAATTTATTCACAAAAACGGGAAAAAGATTCAAACTGACATTCTGTACCTTATAAATGAATAAGTAGATGAGACATGATTATATGAACTTTTCAGCCTGTTTTGATGTCAGCAACATGTTCCTGAAATTTTTACAGGTACTTCAGAAACACCCTGTTGATACTCATTTCTTCTTTTTGTACCACTTACAATAATTCATGCTTCATTCCAAAAATATTCATAGTATATTATGCCAAGTTCACCTAGTAAATAACATTGCCTCTCAGCTAAAAGCTGTTCGTGGATCAAAATTTCAATAAACTTGAAGCTGTAACCAACAAACTCCAATACATTAAAAAAATATGAATATTGAATCATAGTCAAGATCATAGCATTTTCTGTTGATAAAGTTGTGAAAAATTTCAGATTATATTATAATCTCCAATAAGCCAGCAACATATTTTCAGATATTTTCTGAATATTCATTCACCTTCTTGTGTAGCACCAATTTAATGAATGACTATTATAATTCATAATTCTTTCTTGATTTTTCCAGTAGGAGGATAGGGGATTCAAAGTTACAACTTTTTTCGCATTTTTTGCTACATCAGAAAATGTGTTTGATAGTTCTCTGACTGTATTTTTCATCATATAAGAATAGTTTCTTGATGGGAAGCCAGAGATCTTTCATTTTTTCTACTCAGGAATGAGTCTTGAGTTTTGATTAGGTTTGGATTTAAGATTTTCCAATGAAAGTTTCTGAATTTCTATTTGTTGAAGTTGATATATAAAACATATTTGATAGGAGCATTGAAGCTTGAAAAATTCAGTTTTGAATTTGAATGTTTCATCATACAGGGTGGCCCACGAATCATCCCTCGGACCATAGCTGCTAGGCTGATAGAGATAGACATAAAAAATCATCTCAAGTTATTGGAGACTTGATAAGATACTCTTGAAAATTATTTTAGGGTATACAGGGTTCACCATAAATCTGGGATGAAAAATTCGATCATTTTTTTTAGTGGTACACCCTGTATATTATTACATTTTCGGAATCTGTATCATGTGGGCTTCACAAACCTATTTTGTTTTTGAGGATCAGATGCGACGTTGTCAAGTTATTAACATTTTAATCAAATTTGACAAGAAAACATGAATGTTGAAAAATATTCAAGGAAACTATATTTTTGAAGATTTATGAGCAAAACTGGGTATCCGGATAATAAAAGTATGTGTAGAAACTTATACATTATTTGGGATCACTCAAAATATACAGAGTGTTTTAAGATAAGGACCGAATTTCGCTATTTTCAAATCGCCGAAACAATTTTTTTTCCAATGGATCACCCTGTATATTATTTCATAATCTGAAAGTTCATTCAGTGGGCTTTTCGGTGATACCATATAACGAAGAACTCAAAAATACTTTTTTGAATCAAAAACATTAATGAACATATTGATAATATTTATGATCCAAATAATTTCAATGGATTGAATTTTTGAGAAATCCGTTTCTCTAATAGTGTAGTAAATTCAAGACCCTATCGTGTCGTTTTTTTTTTCTGACGTAGAACCAGGTCAGACATGGTAGGTTTTGTTGACCATATCACTAGGTATATGAAATCGTATTTTACGACATTTTTCTGTGGTCTGGAACTTTTTAACTGAGAAAAAACTGAAAAAAATGCACTTTAAATGAAATGTATTTTTTTTTTGTTTCCACCGTCATATCTTTGAAATCAATGAAGATATCGAAGTGTTTTTTTCTCTAGGTTGAACTAAACACAATAGCGCTTCTAACAGTACCGATGGATTTTACAAAATTTTCTTCTTTCATTTTTCAAAAATCAAGAGAGCATGGAATTCAAAATTTATGCATTACAATTTCAACCAATCGATAAAACTTTTTTATTTTTGGAAATTTTTGTATACATATAGCGAAACAAATGGAGCCCATATATGATAGAAGTTTTTGAGCTGATTATTTTTCCCCCATTTTGTATAGTTTAGCAACAATGATTTTTTTATTGCTCGCTCAATATCGGCACGCGCCACAGAAAGACGAGGGTGGATTAGTTTGATGTAAACGGCATTCAGCGTAACATCTACATGCGCCGATATTTATAAGAAGTTCTCTGAGATGGAGTGTATTATTTGTGGAAATATTGTGCGGGATGATGACAAATCTGTGGTACAAAGACCTAGAATACAAGGATTGTTGTCACTAATAGCAAGTGCTGAGAGGAGACAAGACAATCGGTCAAAAGAAATTCTGTCGCAAAAAAAAAGAATTTTTAATAGTGACCTAAAAATAAAGTTTCACTCAGACTGCCAAAAATCGCACACAAGCTTTCAAAATATTAATAGTATTTTGCGAAATGACAGTGCGGCCGGACCCTCAAATTATTCTGGACCTCGGTTTGAATCACAAACATTTGATATCAGAAAAATGTGCCTTATCAGCAGTAGTACTGGAACAAAAAAGAAGGAAAGTTTGATATCTGTTGAATATTTCTTGTATCGTGTTAATGGTTGATGAGTCTCGAGGTTCATTTGCAAATAAATAATTTCTGATGATCTGAGGCATCTTATGCATTTGAAAAAAAAAAATCTGGTTGGGACATGGCTTGACTGTGGACTACGGGGACAGAAATAAGTTCATTTTAGCCCACTTACCTATATCCAAAATCGTTTCGTTGAGTTGGTACAGGGCGTTAAAGTGCTCACCTTAGGTACTGAATATAGTTATCGCTATATTTGTAACACGAGAGTTCTTGTAAAGCCCGCGAGGACCAGCAACATATCAGTTTGTTTACAATAAGAATACATTGTAGCCATGATCCATAAACAGTCCGACTAATAAGATTAATTTTCAAAAATACGCGAGTTCCAACTTTTACCGATTTAGAGAGGACTTTTTTGACAGCTGTAATTAATGCTGGGCGCAGATGTCGAGCACTTCGAACAGTGGTAGTTTTTGACACCTGAAATTAAACAGTCAGTTCTTATTTTTCCAAACAGAATACAAAACGCTGCAAAGTACTTGAACGAAAATGAAATATTGATGACAGCTAGGGGATTTAAAATGTCAGAAAAAGTAGTTCCAATGCATCATTCGGAAATTGTTGAGGCTCTATTTTTTAACAAACATGAAGAGGCAGATACAAGGATTATTTTGCATGCTATACATGAAACTGAATTCAGCAGATTTTACTCATCCACTTTTTTTGTTGAAAGAAAGTAATTTATTTATGCATCTTGGACACGGAACTAGCAAACGATTTATCTCAATTGAAAAAGTAGTGCAAAGTTCAGGACCTACAATGTGTTCTTGTCTGTTGGCACTTCATTGTTCTACTGGTTGCGAAACAACTAGTAGTTTTTTCAAAATAGGAAAAAAATCGACGTTTGACGTTCTTAAAAAAACCGTGTGCCCAAGTGAAGGTGCCTTTTACCAGCACTTCTCAAGGTGAACGTGAAAATTATATTCATTATTACATTATGAACATACTTACATTTATATTAAAATAAGATGACAATATTTCAGTTGACTATTGAAATTTTAGGTGTATATATCAACTCAGAATATGGTTCAGCAGCAACATAGCAACACCACTTATAAATACAGATGGTTCAGGATGGAATTTGAATAACAACGTTTGGATTTCAATATTTTCGAATGATAAACCAATTCCTGGTTCTGTTCGGCAATCATAAAGTATCTTTTGTTCGGATAAAAATTGTGATAGTCGAAAATGTGGATGTTTCAAAGAATGCCTAAAATGTTGTGAAGATTGTAAATGTCGTTTTTGTAATAATGTTACCGAAGATTCTGAGGAAGATATAGATAGATATACCTAATCTATTGGAATAATTGAAAAAATAAAAGTTGTTTTATGCATACGTTTTTAGTTCCGGTCAAAAATGATTAAATAATCATTCTGGAGGAAAAGGAAAGAATTTAGTTTGAAACATTGATACATAAGATAGTTCAATATTTTGAAATATAAACATTAAAAGGTATTATCCCATCAGAAGTCCGACCATAACGTACGTACGGATCTGCTACCTATGTAGTCGACAAACATAAACTGGGTAATAAGAGAGCCGGGCGCGCCCGAGCGCAATTTTAGCCCGTTTTGTTAAAATCGCTGACTGTATACATACATACATACATGAAAAATTATCATTCCAAGAACTTTCTTCATACATTCTCCCCATTTTGTTCGCATAATATATACACAAATTTCCAATAATAAACTTTTTTATCGATTGCTATAATTTACATCTACAAAAATATCGATGTCAAGTTTGTTATCATTTCAACAGATCGAATAAAAATATATCAAAATCACAAAGTAGGTGGTTAGAACCGCTATTGAATCTTCTTTAATTTAAAAAAAAATCAGCCCAAAACCACAATTACTTTGAGAGATATAACGGTGGAGACGTAAAAAAACATGTTTTACATATTAATCCATTTTTTCGAGTTTTTTGAAATTAAAAAGTTCACGACCACTAAAAAATGTCGTAAAAAGTGATTTCGTGTACACGACCACCTAATTGAAGAAATGGACCAGGTTTTACCTGGTTCTACGCCAGTTTTTTTTATCTCAGAAACTAAGCGACTTTGCTCTCGAAATTCGCTCGTCTATAAGGTGTTTGAAGTGTCTTTTCCTATTGAATATGTTTTGCGGAGTCTAATCTTCTCTCACATAGTTTTCATTATGAAATTTTGTCATTTCTTATCAAAATTCCTTCTGCCACTTCTACAATAGAAGCTAATACTGCTGATTGATTGAAAATGTCTACAACACACACGATATTTCCTCAGCATGTCTGGCCAGTCCTTCCGTTTGATTGCATGAATCCAATCTTCTTGCTATCTTTTAGAAATTTCACGAGTATTTCTATTAGCTCCTATTGCAGAAGGATTTCCGATGAGAAAGAGAAATTACCAACTTTCAAAATGAAAACTATATTTGAGTGACCAACCGGATTCCTTCGTCTCTCGCTGCAATTTTGTGCATTGTACAACAGCACAATGTGATGGCATGCGCGAATTAATGGATAGCCGAAAAACACGATTTGTATGCCAAAATAATTGTGAAAAACTATTTCAATCATTTGTACACAAATAAGAAAAGTGAGGTTGTGTTTTGTTTCACCTCCAGGGTCGGTCATCTGACAGTTCTTGCACGCAACCCATACCCATAATTTTATAAATTACTATGCTATTGTAATATTCATGTTTCATCTTTCATTCCCATTTCATCAGGCATTGGGAGTATAATTTTTAGAAATAATCCAATTTCCACCCATACTATTGGTGTAAATAAGTCATTTCAAATACCAACTACGATGTTAGAGCGAAATTTCCCGAATCATAAGATTTATCGACAAATCTTGTAACGCTGTACGTAAAACAGCTCACATTTTGAGTTGAGCGTACATATGAAAGTAGTACGTCATGAAAATGGTGGAGGAGCCGAAACTGTATCTTCGTGATTTTTTTCTGAACTCAAATTTGATCACACGAAAAGAATAGAAAATGTTCAATGAATTCTTATAAACTGTACAGAGGAATGAAAATTTAGATATTGAAAATTTGCTCATTCTTTACTTTCTTCCGCACCACTATAGCCCTAATGGCCCTAAAGACCATCTACAAATGGAAGGAGAACAGCTGTGCCACTGTAGTAGAAGTAATGATCAAGATTTCTATGGCTCTTGACTAGACTAGACAACACTTAATAATAATAATTGTTTTATTGCTTGGAAACAAAAAGTTACAGCAAGGGTTTGGTTACATAAATTTTAGTTGACAGTGATCCTTAGCTATAAGTGTATCTATACAAATATTGACAGGAGACATAACTTAATTTATCGTTATTCACTCAAAATATACGATCGAAGTTTCAGAATATTATAAGTGTAATTACAAATTATTTCAGCATTTTCCATATTTATATCTTCTAGCGTTGAAGCAAGTGATTGGAGATCCGTTAGACAATCAACTTTTGGTTTCCTTATGTTGTAAATAGGACACTATGTAATAGTGTTTCATTCTCATTTCTGTTACAAATTGTACAAATGCTGTTTGGGTCAATTATGTATGAAATGTTGGTGTAAGTGAATTTCAAATGAAATCATTACACAGACGAAGTTGAGCAAGAGTGTGTGTGACTTGAATGGGTAACTTTAGCAGTAAATAGTTTTTTGACTCTATTTTAGGTTGAAGGGAAGTATACAATGACATGAAATGGCTGAGTGCTGCTAAGGAAACATCAAGACTGAAAAGTTTATCATAGTAATCCCTGAACAACTGCTTTTTGTTTGTTTTGATGGTGTGGCTACTAAGATTATTCCAAAGCAGTTCATGTCCAATAAATTTAAACTTCTGCCTAATCTGTGCAACCCAGTTGTATTTTATGTCTGGAGCATCGATCGAATGCAGTTGTTGTTCTAAGCATATCGTAGGGTACCTATCACTGCTCATACTCAAAACCTTCTTTAGCCAGTTGAGTGTCGCTACGCGGCGTTGTGCTAACTATCACTCGAGCGAAATATGTAACTTTCTTTGCTAAAAACACTACCAAAGAATCCAAATAATACACACAAGCAGATGAAAACATTGTACTTTCATATAGTTCCGCAATCGACCACTTCGGCGCTGCGATCAGAAACTAGTGAATTGTTGTAAATCAGAGTAAGAAAAAGTTCATTGGCCCTCTTCAAACTAATTGTAATTGTCATGGCATTGACAAATGACACTCAATTTGACAGTAGTTGTTGCCGACAAATAGGATAAAATTCCTGATATTTTCCAGCGTGCGCAGAGGATACGAAGTATACAGGGTGGGTCGAATTGGACACTTTAAAGGGAAACTCCTATTCTCGAACCAGATGGAAGAAAACTGATGCCGGTGCCTGAGGGTCGATTCTCATGGTGAAATCTGCATATCGATATCTGTCTTCGTTTCGGAGTTACAAGGTGTTTTTCATAAATGGGCAAAAATTGCCTTTTCTCATGAAAATAACTGCAAAGCATTGAGATTGTGATAAAAATTTTTCTCGAGGCACTGATATCGGCCTTCCTATATCTAGTTCAAGAATATAACTTATTCTTCTATTCTATTTTATAACTAGGTATACAGTGACTGATTTCAGTGCCTGAGGATCAATTTCCATGACAAACACAATGCTTCGGAAATGTTTTCATGAAAACGAAGAATTTTTGCCAAAAAAAGTTTTAGCCACTTTTCAAAAATTCACATTTTCGAAAAATACCTTGTAACTCTGAAATAAAGATAGGTGTGTGCACCGCCTGCCACTCGCTGGCCTTCATCGCGTACAGATACTTGGCGGCAAACCTCACATTATGTTATTTTATGTTCGATGATGGATGATGCCTTGCATCATACAAAGTTTCTGAAGACAGATATGCTTTTTGAATGAGCTCATTCATTTATTTTTCGAGTCCCAAGTTAGAGTCTAGTTCCACACCATGATTTCTTGTATGGTTCATTATAGCTCTAATGTCCCCAATGACCATCTTCAGACCGGACGAGAGCAGTGGTGCAACAATAGTAGAAAGTAGTGATCAAGATGATTTTTCAGTTGGATTTCTATAGGTCTGTTCGCTGTGCCTTCAATAACTAAAATATTGTACACCAGAGTAGATTTTGTAGCACTGATACCGTTCGGTGTTCTAGGGTGTACACTCACACTGTGTTTGTAGTCAAGTTTCGTAATACAATAATTGGAGATAATTTACCGCCAATACAGAGTGTTACACTTGATCTGGAGGAGGTGTAAGAAATGTAATGCAGATAGTTGTTGAGCATAAACAACAATCTCTGTTTTATCTATCATTTTGGTCAAGTTTCTTATCCTAAGATGGATTATACCACTACTAATAAAACAGATTTCCTTGAATAATTATTGTCGTCAGAAGAACTTGTAATTGATTCACCATCTAAATTCGAGAAACTGTAAATGATTTCATCATCACTGTCCATTTTTTTGAGTTCAATGAGTTTTTACCATACAATTAAAATATTCGCGGAATCCTACTGCACTTGACTACACCACAAGCAACGAACAGGATATTAATTCACCACACTACACTCGTCCACGCCGAAAAGTGTAGTGTAAAAATATGTGGTGTACAATATAAATTTCATACAGAAACAGCGAACAGGCCTTATGGTTCTTTCTAACACATTAGATAGACTTTCAGCTCGGAGATCGATCACGTGACTAGACATTAACACTTGCTGGGGCTAGATTTTTCGACATGGAGGTGAAAGTTTTACTGCATAGAGGTTCTTTAGGTTGGTAACTTCGAGCGAGGTCCCCCATAGGTCGCGTGCACGATGGCCGACCTTGGAGGTAAAATATTGAAACATAACCTCACTCTACTGTGAAACATTGAAACACAACCTCACTTTTTTTATTTGTTTATAGAGGAATCAAAGGATTGAAATAGTTTTCACAATATTTTGTTATACGAATCGTGTTTTTTGCGCTATCCATTAATTATTCAAGCATGCCTTCTCATTGAGCTGTTTTACAATGCACAAAAAATGCAGCGAGAGACGAAGGAATATAATTTTTCAGGTGAATAGTAATCTCACATAGTTTTTATTATGAAATATTGTCATTTCCTATTAAAATTCCTTCTGCCACTTCTGCAATAGAAGCTGATACTGCTAATAGATTGAAAATGTCTACAACACACAAGATCATATTTCGTCAGCATGTCAGACCAGTCCTCCCGTTTGATTGCATGAATCCAATCTTCTTGCATTATTTTAGAAATTTCAGGAGTATTTCTACTAGCTCCTATTGCAGAAGGAATTCCAATGAGGAATCAGAGTAGTTACTTTCTTTCAACTCATAATGTACCCATCGGATTTCTTCGTCTCCCGTTGCATTTTTTGTGCATTGTACAACAGCACAATGTGATGGCATGCGCGAAATAATGAATAGCCGAAAAACACGATTCGTATGCCAAAATAATCGTGAAAAACTATTTCAATCCCTTGTAAACAAATAGGAAAAGTGAGGTTGTGCTTCAATGTTTCACCTCCAGGGTCGGCCATCTGACAGTTCTTGCACGCAACCCATTGACATCGGCAAAAGACATTGCATCAACCAATGACACTCAATGTATCATAGTAAATAGTGAAATATTTTCAATCCACTATTTCCTTCTGCAGCGTGCGCAGGGGCTACGAAGTGTACAAGCAGGTGTGCGCCGCCTGCCACTCGCTGCGCTTCATCGCGTTCCGAAACTTGGTGGGTGTGTCGCACACGGAGGAGGAGGCCAAAGCGGAGGCGGAGGACCAGATGATCGAGGACGGGCCCGACGACCAGGGCAACATGTTCAAGCGGCCCGGCAAGCTGTCCGACTACTTCCCCAGCCCGTACCCGAACGAGGAGGCGGCGCGGGCGGCCAACAACGGGGCTTACCCGCCGGATTTGAGTTACATCACGTCGGCGCGACACGGAGGTGAGCGGTTGCGGTGTTCTCGGCCTTTTTCAATATGCTGTTTACCATCTAAATTCAGATTACATCTACATTGCAAAATTTCAATTTCATACTTTATCTTAATTCGACATTATTCAATTCTGTTTTGGAAGGATGGTAATTCCAAATAAAACTAATACATAATCACAATACTTTCTCATTGTGTCTATAATTATCCACTCCACAAGTTTTTGTATGCATTTTAGTAGAAACAGTTTTGATTAAAACGGAGGATTGAAAGAAGAGGCATATCCCTACCATTTAAAAAGTATACCTACATTCAGGAAATATTAAGTGTTTGTGAAAAACTGCAAAAATGATTCCCAACATGAATATATACAGCACACATGACATATGAGCACATTAGTTTGAATACCTACATAACATTTTTCACCATTTCTCAACCATAAGGCTTAGTCTGAAATCAAAATTCAACTGCCTAAGAACAGTCCCATTTTGTGAAACGTATTAAACTTTCAGAAAAATTTGCTCACTGCCTCACAAAGATTATGCTGGAGTTGAAAAATCGAAAACTCGAAAATTATCATCATCATTTGGATATAATATATAGAGTTGAATGAGAAATTACATGTGGAAATCACGTATGATACGCCAATTTCCTCAATATAACCTAAAAAATAACAAATGCCAGAAATGTAGTGTTTATCCCCAGAAATGAATAAAGATAGAATACTATAACTGTTTCACAAACACTTTAGAGAGAGAGAGAGAGGATACGAGGATACCCTGTCAATTTACATCAAGGGACCTTAGTAGAACCTACCATTATTTACTCGTTTTCAAGGTGTAAAGGTGTTTTCACTACCAAAGAATTTTCTGAACATTTTTAAGCAAACAAGATACACTTGTGAAAATCCGCCAGAGTAAGCTGATTTCCAGATATTCCGATTTTAGGTTAATCCAGGAGGTGGTATATTTTCCATTTTTGTTGGAAACGCGAGTAGATTAGTTCCCGAAACGTTTTTCGACAATGAGCATTTTTGAAAAGTGGCTACAATTATGTGTTTTTGGCATAACTGGCTACAATTATGTTTTTTTGGCATAACTGAGTTTGTCATCAAAATTGTTCCCGTGCCACTGAAATCAGCCTTCCTATATCTAGTTCAATAATATAACTTGTTCTTAAAGGAAAAGTTCTATTTTGAACCTAGGTATATGATGACTGATTTCAGTGCCTGAGGATCAATGTTCATGAGAAACACAATACTTTGAAAATGTTTTCATGAAAACGAAAAATTTTTGTAAAAATAAAGTTTTAGCCACTTTTCAAAAATTCACATTTCCGAAAAACACCTTGTGATAGATATCGATATGTCGGCGTCAAACAGTGAAACCCGTCATTCTCTGGAATGCCTAGACATTTCACGTATTGCCGGCAAACAGCGTCGTATGAATTTCGTACTCCGTGTGCCTAATAGTTTCAGGCATTCCCTGTAATGATGGATGGAAGGTTCATTTAGGCCGAGTCAATTTAGGTTGTTAGAAAGCAGTAGTCTCTTCTGTTCTCTCAAGTAATTCTCTGAAATATATACTTTCTAGGAAGAAAGTTCATTTAGGCAGAAAAATAGTCTCCCTTCTTATGCATATGCAAAAAGGGTATCTTCCTTCCTCAACTCTCCGGCAAACAGAGTAACTGCTGAAAATGGAAGTTACGCAGTTACGCTGTTTGATGACAATACGTGAAATGACTAGGCATTTCAGGGAATGATGGATTTCACTAATAAAATTGACGCCGACAGATATACGGTTATTACCATTGAGTTTGACATGTGAATTGATCAACAGGCACCGAAATCAGTTTTTTTTTATCTAGTACGGGAATAGGACTTTCCCTTTGAAAATTTCCAATTTGGCACACCCTGTACAATTTGGAAAATATTTCATTAATCGGTGAATAGTGAATACACCACCTTTCTTTGATCATAGATCAATGAATTTTCTGCAACCGACACAAAACTCGTCCATTTTGATACCAAAAGTAGCTCTTGAATTGACACAATAATAAGTATGTTGCTAGGCAAGTTGAACTTTAGCTCCTAGGAACTAAAAAGGATGTACTAGACGTCATCAAGAATAAACAACATTATTACGGTTGGTTATTTGGGTTGGGACGCATAGCTGATTTGTTTCCGATTTCGGCAGATTTGACATTTCATACCCATGCTGGAGATATAAATACACCTTATTATAGTTACGTATTGAAATTATAAACATTTCAGCTAAGTATTTTGCTTTTATCAGAGAATCCTTCAATATTCAAATACTTGCTTGCTCTCTATTTCATTCGTTATTTTCGGGACGGATAACTTGTTTTTGGATAATCACGGCAAGCAATAGCTTTTTTGTCTCAAACAACGATATTGTTTACCTTCATTTGATTACCAGGTCAAACACAGTGTAGTATGAAGAGGAATAAATAATCGCTATTATTATTGTTGATATGCTCACTAACCTAACATTTTCCACGTCTTATTTTTCCTATACCTGGCACTGACGCGGTATTTGCCATTAGAGCACCTGGTCCATACACAAATATGTCACTCTGTGGTTGTATTTATATTGAAACTACAATTCGAACATCCTTGAAAATTGAATAAACCTGCTGTTAATCCAGGTAGAATATTATCAACACACGAATTATTTGTCAATATTTGTTGCATTGCATACATATGGCACGGCATTGGTGGTTACTTCACGTTATTTATTTGAGTTTTTTGTTTCCCTTGCAGACTCGCAAAGTTTGCTTTCGCTCGGCTTTGCTAAATGCTCCGCCTCGCAAATGCAAAATTCGCTAGTCAAACAAAGTGTCACTTTTGACACTAATAAAACAATCTACTCTTTTCCAGGCGAGGACTACATTTTCGCACTTTTGACCGGTTACTGCGACCCACCGGCTGGACTTGTCCTGCGCGAAGGCCAATACTTCAACCCCTACTTCCCCGGAGGGGCCATTTCCATGGCGCAAGCGCTCTACAACGAAGCCATGGAGTACACGGACGGCACTCCGCCCACTGCCAGCCAACTCGCTAAGGACGTTTCGACCTTCCTCAAGTGGACCGCCGAGCCGGAACACGACGACAGGAAGAGGATGCTGATCAAGGGCATAGCTATCTTCACTTTCCTCATCGCTACCAGTTATTACGTGAAGAAGTTGAAGTTTGCTTCGCTCAAAACGCGCAAGATCGAGTTTAGGCCCAAGAATAATTGATGAGCACGAAGGTTTTCGAGTCTAGCGTGACGATTATAGATGAATTCAGTTTAAGTGTAACTTATATTTGTATATATGATTATTGAAAAAAAAATTGTCCATCTGTTGAATTGGTATGATTGATTTTACCTTGTCTATATTTATTTTCCCAGCTATTATTATACTTCCTAAGTCCGTTTAATGTCACGTTGTTTCAATACAAAATGAAAATCAATGGTTTGTTTTTCTTCACCTGACTCACCAAGATCTACCATATTCAGTGAATTTCAAGAATTCCCAATGTTTCAAAATGTATACAGGAAATTGTGAAAATGATCTATATCATCAAAAGGTAGTGACATAGGAAGTAGAAAAATCTTAGTAAAGTGGTAGGTACATTTTCACAATTCGTTAGGAGAGATTCTTGCACAGTAGTACGAAAAACGCTCACTACTCATGTATTGCATAAAACATTCTTTTATTCTAAAACTTCATTGACAAAAAGTTCGCTTAGTCTGTCTCAAACAAAATGAGAATGCGTGTTGCTTTATTGCAAGAATATTTGATATATGCACTAACAATTTGTGTCTTCCTGACTTCCTGAGTCTTCAACTAGATAATTATTCGACTTCTATAGAACTAAAAATCAATTATGGCATAGAGAAACGAAATATTATTGATAAAATCGATTCTAAAAGTTACTTGGTGCAGTAATCAAATTTGAAGGTAAGTACTAAACTAATTTGTGTTTGTAAATAGTTTGGACCGTATTTTATGTTGAGAGTAGTGGATAAAAAAGCCCAGTGCATTCCATTTTGGTTGAGACTGCCTGACTGCCAGGTTTCTCGGCAGTTCTTAAAGATATCGTGGTGTTCACATTCTTGGTCTACTTTTTTGTGAAACTTAAGATGGCCTAATGAGATTGTGCAAGACTGTTTATCCGTGTATGAGGTCAGGGCGATTTTGAACATTCATGTTTTTTAGACATCTTTTGCGTAAAATCCAGTTTTTTGTTTTGCTAAAGACATTTCGATCTTCCTCAAGTGGACCGCCAAACCAGAAAACGACGGCAGGAAGATCGAGGATGCTAATCAAGGGCATATAGCTATCTTCACTTTCCTCATCGCTGTCAGTTGAAGGGTGGAGGAAGAGAACAGAGAGAATGTCACAATAACTTTGTTTTGAGATAATCACATTTTAACAATTCAACTCCGGATTACTTCTGAAAGTTCTAAACTATTAATGTTGAAATAGTGACATAATTTAATATATTGAGTAAAAGTATATATTTTCATATAATCTATGAATTTGAAACAAACAACTCCACTCGTTATGCAGAAAAAATTGTGAATTTTTACAAGAACATATAATTTGGAAAAAAAACAAGGAATGTCACAAACATTCTGAAGGGAAGTAACGAGTTGAATAATCATTAATGAGGTAATTCTGTGAAGTTAATATGTGCTTCAGGTCCACAAAATCTCTTCAGAATCATACAATGTTTGTATTTTTCTGCTGGAACTGGCAATTAATCTAGAATAAAAATTCAGAATGAGTAAAGAATCTTTAGGTACTTAGGATAAAAATTGAATTCACTGTCAGAATACATGACGTAAGACAACACGTGCTATATTGATGAATCACGTTGATCTCGAAGACGAAAAAAAACCTCTTCCTATGCGGTCGTGACTGATTAATAGATAGCAAAGACTGATTTGAATTGCAAAGAATTCTGGTTGTATGTACCCTCTGACATGGACTCTCCTAGTTCTTTGAAATTTCCGGGCGGATATTCCCTGTTTTTAACCTAGCTTTCAACAATATTTCAAGACATATTTACGAATACACCATACGAGTTTTTAGCACACTTATCGGTAGAGAATATTGAGCTAGAACAAGTCTATCTTCGTAAAGCAATGTGTATCTCAATTTACATGCAAAAATTTGACATTTCTTGTTATTTCCCTTCGCCCTTCAGTTATTGTACGTCAAGAAATTGAAGCTTTCTTCGCTCAAAACTCACAAGATCGAGTTTAGGTCAAGAATAATTGATGAGCACGAAGGTTTTCGAGTCTAGCGTGACGATTATAGATGAATTCAGTTTAAGTGTAACTTATATTTGTACCTATATATGATTATTGAAAAAAATTGTCCATCTGTTGAATTGGTATGATTGATTTTACCTTGTCTATATTTATTTTCCCAGCTATTATTATACTTCCTAAGTCCGTTTAATGTCACGTTGTTTCAATACAAAATGAAAATCAATGGTTTGTTTTTCTTCACCTGACTCACCAAGCTCTACCATATTCAGTGAATTTCAAGAATTCCCAATGTTTCAAAATGTATACAGGAAATTGTGAAAATGATCTATACCATAAAATGGTAGTGACATAGGAAGTAGAAAAATCTTAGTAAAGTGGTAGGTACATTTTTACAATTCGATAGGAGAGATTCTTGCACAGTAGTACGAAAAACGCTCACTACTCATGTATTGCATAAAACATTCTTTTATTCTAAAACTTCATAGACAAAAAGTTCGCTTAGTCTGTCTCAAACAAAATGAGAATGCGTGTCGCTTTTTTTGCAAGAATATTTGATATACCCACTAACAATTTGTGTCTTCCTAACTTCCTGAGTCTTCAACTAGATAATTATTGGACTTCTATAGAACTAAAAAATCAATTATGGCATAGAGAAACGAAATATTATTGATAAAATCGATTCTGAAAGTTATTTGGTGCAGTAATCAAATTCGAAGGTAAGTAATAAACTAATTTGTGTTTGTAAATAGTTTGGACCGTATTTATGTTGATAGTAGAGGATAAAAAAGCCCAGTGCATTCCATTTTGGTTGATACTGCCTGACTGCCAGGTTTCTCGGCAGTTCTTGCAGATATAACCTCGTGGTGTTCACGTTCTTGTTCTACTTTTTTGTGAAACTTAAGATGGCCTAATGGGATTGTGCATACCTGTTTCCGTGTATGAGGTCAGGGCGATTTTGAACATTCATGTCTTTTGCGTAGAATCCAGTGGCGCACAATTTTTTGTTTTCCTAAAGACATTTCGTCCTTCCTCAAGTGGACCGCCAAACCAGAAAACGACGGCAGGAAGATCGAGGATGCTAATCAAGGGCATATAGCTATCTTCACTTTCCTCATCGCTGTCAGTTGAAGGGTCGTGGAGGGAGAGAACAGAGGGAATGTCACAATAACTCTGTTTGGAGATAATCGCATTTTAACAATTCAACTCCGGATTACTTCTGAAAGTTCTAAACTATTAATGTTGAAATAGTGACATAATTTAATATATTAAGTAAAAGTATATTTTCATATAATCTATGAATTTGAAACAAACAACTCCATTCGTTATTCAGAAAAAAATTGTAAATTCTTAGAAGAACATATTAATTTGGATAAAAACAAGGAATGTCACAATAGATATTTACGTTACTAGTACTGTAAAAGTTTACCGGACGTGTGACGTATAACATTTTATTTCATACTGCTAAAAAACAAAAATGAACAGTGAAAAATAAAATATTAATCTATTTATCTGCGTCCAGTAATTTCAGAATTTTGCATTCACTCCCAAGATAGCTGGCAGGTAGTTTCCTTAGAAACATAATTTTTGTTTCAAATAATACTGTCAGTGATTGTCATTACGCGTTTTTCACGAAATGGCTCAGGACACAGCTCAAGATCAATTATTCATTCCTGAGGATATTTTGCGCAAATCACATGAAGCTACGGGGCATCTGATACCCAACAAATCGTCACTCCGTTATGACAAAGAATTATTCAAGCTTTTTTGTCAATGGAAAATGGACAGCAACGTGAATTTTGTGAATGAAGATGTAATGATGGCTTATTTTTTGGACTTGGTTAATATTAATATTAGCAATAAGTAATTCCTGTGTATTGTTTTGCTGTTGAATTTTTAATAAATGTATTCATGCTTTTGACGCATAACTGAGTTTTCAATTTTTACAATCCGGTAAAATTTCATTACGGGATAGTAGCACGTAATGAAATATTACATGCTCCTATCCTGTAAAAATCTATTTTCCGGATTGAAATCAGGTACGTAAAGGTATGTTCTATGATGCAGTATGAAATAAACATTCTGAAGGGAAATAACGAGTTAAGTAATCATTGATGAGGTCCACAAAATCTCTTCAGAATCATACAATGTTTGTATTTTTCTGCTGGAACTGGCAATAAATCTAGAATAAAAATTCAGAATGAGTAAAGAATCTTTAGGTACTTAGGATAAAAATTGAATTCACTGTCAGAATACATGACGTAAGACAACACGTGCTATATTGATGAATCACGTTGATCTCGAAGACGAAAAAAAATGTACTTCTGATGCGGACGTGACTGATTAATAAATAGCAAAGACTGATTTAAATTGCGAAGAATTCTGATTGTTTGAAATTTCCGGGCGGATATTTCCCTGTTTTTAACCTTTCGACAATATTTCAAGGCATATTTACGAATACACCATACGAGTTTTTAGTACACTTATCGGTAGAGAATATCGACAAGTCTGTCTTCGTAAAGCAATGCACCCTTCAGTTATTGTACGTCAAGAAATTGAAGCTCAAAACTCACAAGATCGATGATATTGATGAGCACGAAGGTTTTCGAGTCTAGAGTGACGATTATAGATGAATTCAGTTTGAGTGTAACTTATATTTGTATATATGATTATTGAAAAAAAAAATTGTCCATCTGTTGAATTGGTATGATTGATTTTACCTTGTCTATAGTTATTTTCCCAGCTATTATTATACTTCCTAAGTCCGATTGATGTCACGTTGTTTCAATACAAAATGAAAATCAATGGTTTGTTTTTCTTCACCTGACTCACCAAGCTCTACCATATTCAGTGAATTTCAAGAATTCCCAATGTTTCAAAATGTATACAGGAAATTGTGAAAATGATCTATACCATCAAATGGTAGTGACATAGGAAGTAGAAAAATCTTAGTAAAGTGGTACTCAGTGGTAGGTACATTTTTACAATTCGATGGGAGAGATTCTTGCACAGTAGTACGAAAAACGCTCACTACTCATGTATTGCATAAAACATTCTTTTATTCTAAAACTTCATTGACAAAAAGTTCGCTTAGTCTGTCTCAAACAAAATGAGAATGCATGTCGCTTTATTGCAAGAATATTCGATATACGCACTAACAATTTGTGTCTTCCTGACTTCCTGAGTCTTCAACTAGATAATTATTCGACTTCTATAGAACTAAAAAATCAATTATGGCATAGAGAAACGAAATATTATTGATAAAATCGATTCTAAAAGTTACTTGGTGCAGTAATCAAATTTAAGGTAAGTACTAAACTAATTTGTGCTTGTAAATAGTTTGGACCGTATTTATGTTGAGAGTAGTTGATGAAAAAGCCCAGTGCATTGCATTTTGATTGAGACTGCCTGACTGCCAGGTTTCTCGGCAGTTCTTAAAGATATCGTGGTGTTCACGTTCTTGGTCTACTTTTTTGTGAAACTTAAGATGGCCTAATGGGATTGTGCAAGACTGTTTCCGTGTATGAGGTCAGGGCGATTTTGAACATTCATGTTTTTTAGACATCTTTTGCGTAGAATCCAGTTTTTTGTTTTGCTAAAGACATTTCGATCTTCTTCAAGTGGACCGCCAAACCAGAAAACGACGGCAGGAAGATCGAGGATGCTAATCAAGGGCATATAGCTATCTTCACTTTCCTCATCGCTGTCAGTTAAAGGGTGGAGGGAGAGAACAGAGGGAATGTCACAATAACTCTGTTTGGAGATAATCGCATTTTAACAATTCAACTCCGGATTACTTCTGAAAGTTCTAAACTATTAAGGTTGAAATAGTGACATAATTTAATATATAAAGTAAAAGTATATTTTCATATAATCTATGAATTTGAAACAAACAACTCCATTCGTTATTCAGAAAAAAATTGTAAATTCTAAGAAGAACATATTAATTTGGAAAAAAACAAGGAATGTCACAAACATTCTGAAGGGAAATAACGAGTTAAGTAATCATTGATGAGGTAAAATTCTGTGAAGTTAATATGTGCTTCAGGTCCACAAAATCTCTTCAGAATCATACAATGTTTGTATTTTTCTGAACTGGCAATAAATCTAGAATGAAAATTCAGAATGAGTAAAGAATCTTTAGGTACTTAGGATAAAAATTGAATTCACTGTCAGAATATATGACGTAAGACAACACCTGCTATATTGATGAATCACGTTGATCTCGAAGACTAAAAAAAATGTACTTATTCTGATGCGGACGTGACTGATTAATAAATAGCAAAGACTGATTTAAATTGCGAAGAATTCTGATTGTTTGAAATTTCCGGGCGGATATTCCCTGTTTTTAACCTTTCGACAATATTTCAAGGCATATTTACGAATACACCATACGTCAAGAAATTGAATCTTTCTTCGCTCAAAACTCACAAGATCGAGTTTAGGTCAAGAATTATTGATGGGCACGAAGGTTTTCGAGTCTAGCGTGACGATTATAGATGATTTCATTTACGTGTAACTTATATTTGTAGGTATATGATTATTGGAAAAAAAATTGCCCATCTGTTGAATTGGTATGATTGATTTTACCTTGTCTATATTATTTATTTTCCGAGTTATTATTATATACTTCCTAAGTCCGATTGATGTCACGTTGTTTCAATACAAAATGAAAATCAATGGTTTGTTTTCCTTCACCTTATTCATCAAGCTCTACCATATTCAGTGAATTTCAAGATTTCCCAATGTTTCAAAATGTATTCAGGAAATTGTGGAAATGATCTATACCATCAAATAGTAGTGACATAGGAAGTAGAAAAATCTAAGTAAAGTGGTAGGTACATTTTTATAATTCCATAGGAAAGATTCTTGCACAGTAGTACGAAAACTGACTACCCATGTATTGCATAAAACATTCTTTCATTCTAAAACTTCGTAGAGAAAATTTCGTTTAGCCTGTCTCAAACAAAATGAGAATGTGTTGTTGCTTAATTGCAAGTATATTTGATATACGCACAATCAATTTGGGTCTTCCAGACTTCCTGAGTCTTCAACTAGATACAAAAACGAAATATTTTTGGTAAAATCGATTATAAAAGTCACTTGGTGCAGTAATCAAAGTTGAAGGTAAGTATACTAAACTAATTTGTGTTTGTAAACAGTTCCATGAAGATTGAATCTCGTGGTGTTCACGTTCCTGTCCTACTATTTTGCGAAACTTAAGATGGCCTAATCGGATTTTTCATTACTGTTTCCGTTAATGAGGTACAGGGCGATTTGGAACATTCATGTTTTTTTGGACATCTTTAGCGTAGAATCCAGTCGGGCACATTTTTTCGTTTTTAGGGGTATGACTGCCAGTCAACTTGCTAAAAACTTTTTCACCTTCCTCAACCCAGACAGTACTGAATATTCTCTGAATATGCTAAAAAAGAGAAATATATTCCGAATATTCGTAGAATACATACATGCTACTGGAACATCGAAGGAATATTCCAGTAGGATTCCAAAATAATATAAAAGGAATATTCCAGCAGGAATATACAAAGTGAATATTCTCAGAATATTCTAGTTGGATTGTCAGTGTATATTCTGTAATAAATGTTCCAGAAATATTCCCATCTAAATATTCGTTATTCTGGGTTTTCAATGAAATGGTATAGTATAAACACCAATCTCTATTTTATAGATGTGAGTATCAGATATTTATTACATGTAACGAGATTTTGGGAGAAAATGTTTATGATCCGATTATTCAATTCGATTACTGGTCTAGAGGTTAAGGCGATGCTCTTAACAGTCTGGAAGTCACGGTTTCAAACCCATATCTCGAGTCACCTTTTTATATTCTAGAATATTCATATTTATTGGAATATTCCAGGAACATTCAAGGGATATTCCTAGAATATATTCTAAAGTTCCATTGATTCTTTTGGGCATATTCTATGTATATTTTAAGAATCCCCATTTGCATATTTAGAGAATATTCCCAGATTATTCCCAGAATATACCAATATTCCAATAGGAATTTGATAGGCAGATTCATGAAATATCTGCCGATCCGGAACACGATGAAAGGGGAACAGGATGCTGATCATAGGCATAGCTTTCACTTTCCTCATTGCTATCAGTGATTAAGTCAAGCAGTTGAAGTATAACTTATATTTGTATACATATATTATTATTATTATTGAAAAAATGTCCATCTGTTGAATTGGTATGATTGATTTTACCTTATCTATATTTATTTTTCCGTACTTTTATTACACTTCCTATTCTTTTTAAGTACGATTGATGTGACGTTGTTTCAATAAAAAAATTAAATCAATGGTTTCTCTTCCTCTACCTTCACCAAGCTTTACCCTTTCATTGAATTTTTGAAGTAGTGAAATCTGAGAAAAAGTATTACATTTTTACAATTCATTACAAAAGATTCATGCCAAATAGTACGAGAAACACTCATTACTGATGTGCTACTAGCTATTTGACATGGAATTAGTTGACATTTTGATTTTTGAAAGTTTGCATGGTTCTTGGTTGCCATTATCACAATAATGAACAATGGAAAGCAGCAGCAATAGTGAGTTTGAAAATGTGCCTTACAAAATTTCAAATGCAGCTGCAGTACCTAAGGTACCTATAGGTATTCTGTTCGAGTTTCAGTATCTGATACAAATAAAAATAAAATGTTAGAAAGATCATTCTACAAAGAAATATGATATGGAAATGTGTCTCATTGATTTTTTATTCTACAATGTTGCCGAAAAAATAGTGTACGCAACACGTCCTAAAATAGTTCCTTTGGACTCGCAGGCTTCCAGGACGGCTCGGCCTAGAATTTTGTCTATTCCAAAAAAACAGTATTTTCCGAACTTGTTACGTAAATTCCTATTCCTGAAGAAGTTTTATTGTGAAATCATAGAAATATGAATATATTGATGAGTCACCTATTAATTCAATAATATTTCCGAATGATTCTCTATTGAATGACAAAAGTGTATTGATTGATTGATATTTAATTACTTCATCAATAGAATCACTAACTGCAGTTTTTTTGAAATTAATTTGAGTTCGAATGAAAATATTCATTGTATTAACAATAACAGAACTATATACAGGGTGTCTGTAAAAGGTTGGGACATGGCTTGGCTGTGGACTCCTGGGATAAAAACAAGTTTATTTAGGCCAACTTACCTATATCCAAAATTGTCTCGTTGCGTTGGTACAAGGCGTCGAAGTTTTTTTGGAAAAAAATAATTTTGCTCATAAAAAGAGTAGGCTGAGATCGATTTTCATAATTTTGGTCATGGCATGTTCAGTGACTGTAAGTCACGTTTTGAGATGTTTTTGATCATCATCAGTGACCTGCAAGTGTTATAAACATCCATGCTGCCGTAAAAATTTGGTGATAACTTTTCAGAGGTCGGACTGAAAACTTTCAGTTTTATTTTCCAGAAAGATATTTCCTTTAGAAATATTTTTTGTATCGTGTTATTTTTTATTAGTCTCGAGGTTCATTTGCAAATAAATAATTTCCGATATGATGCATCCTGCGCATTTTTGAAAATTAATCTAATTAGTCGGACTGTTTATTGATCATGACTACAAAAGATTCTTATTGTAAACAAACTGATATCTTACTGGTCCTCGCGGGCTTTACAGGAAATAACGTGTTACAAATTTAGCTATAACTCTTTAGTACCTAAGGAACACTTTAACGCCTTGTACCAACTCAACGAAACGATTTTGGATATAGGTAAGTTGGCTAAAATCAACTTACTTTTATTCCAGGAGACTATTACAGTCGAGCTATGTCCCAACCAGATTATTTTTCTAAAAAATGCATAAGATGATTCAGATCAGGAAGTATTCATTTGCAAATGAACCTCGAGACCTCAAAAATTAACACCATACAAACAAATATTCCTGAAGGAAATATCTTTCTGAAAAAAAAACTGGAAGTTTTCAATCCGACCCTGGAAAGTTATCACCAAATTTGTACTGCAACATGGTTGTTTGAAACACTTGCAAGTCACTGATGATGATCAAAAACATGTCAAAACGTGACTTACAGTCACAGAACATGCCATGCCAAAGATTATGAAAATCGATCTCAGCCTACTCTTTTCATGAGCAAAATTATTTTTTTCCAAAAAAACTTCAACGCTTTGTACCAACTCAACGAGATGATTTTGGATATAGGTAAGTTAGCCTGAATCAACTTGTTTTTATCCCAGGAGTCCACAGCCGAGCCATGTCCCAACCTTTTACAGACACCCTGTATATGATTCGCATAAAAAATCCAATTGGACGTTTCATATCTCAATAAATAGGAAATCTTAGTCGATGACTGACACAGGGATACGTCGATATTATACGTGGATTTTTTTTAAATCCAGTTATCACAGGATGTTGTGATCAAAATATGGATGGTGGTTGTTCAGAATCAACATCTGAAACCGTATTATAATTTCCGAGTGAATACATTATTGTCAAAATCATCTTGATCACCCGGTATGCATATAAACAAGGTGGAGAATTATTAAATGTTCTCTCTACCATATCAACAATACTACTGGGCTATAGTTATAAAAAAAAACTACAAAATATATCAAGCTTCAAAACAATACTGTTTGATTCTAAGACACGACTTAATCATGATCCTGTTAATCGTATTAGCGGGATAAAGAATGTGTCTGTTACACTAACATTTTTATCTGAAACTAGCACTACTAAAGTAGGCCATTCTATTTTTCCATAATCAGTTTTCATTATAGAGAGATAGGTATTGTCAATAACTATATATAGAAAGAATCATTGATATTGCAAGAAAATTTGAGGTCGGCTGTCGGCTTATTTTTTAATCACAATAAGAATATAAATCTATAACCATAATTATGTAGGTACATCAGGTAGGTTTATTTGTGCACATTTTTTCCTTAATATTGCATTATTTGTTATCTGCCAAAGTTTGATTGTGAGCCAATTAAAATTAATCACCCTCTATATCATTCTCTGATACCTCTGTTTTCAATAACAAAGGCTAATTGTCATTCGAGTTGTTCAAATATGAACAAACTAATACTTGGAGTGCCGAGTTTAATTAAGAATTGTGTAAAAATATTGCATCCAGTAACTATCGAGGGGAAATTAAAATGTAATTTTCATAAGGGTCGTCTGTATATTTTGAACAATATCCTGATCAGAAAGTCAATATTATCATTATAAACAATAATCTACTATACATTTCGAGTCATAATTTATTGGATGGGCCATTATATAACTCCATTTATATCATTGTTATCATTACAAAATTAGGGGCAATTTTCTCCTTAAATTGGCTCTTTGCCGAACAAGGATGAATATGGCCATTTGACCCGCAAGCACTCTCAAAGATACCTACTAATACTAATCTGATGTTTATTTGAGATAACCGAGCGATAAAAAAATCTACATCGAATCAATCAAGATATCAAATCTGGCTCAAGAGGACTAAAATATGTGAGACAACTCCACTCGATCAGTCAACGTGATATGTCGGGTGAGTATTATATTATATTTGAGTTATATAATAAAGTTTATAGCCAAAATCTTAAATTTTGGATATAATAATATACCGGGTGTCCCAGAGCAGGGACATGTTTCAGTCTTATAAAATACCATCTTCAGCTATTAGAAGTTCTACAATATCAACAGGAATGGTGTGACAAAAGTGAAAGTATTTGACGTGGAGTCAGAAAAGTTTTTCAAATAATTTGGTTCACTTACGTGGAGTCAGAAAAGTTTCTGAAATAATTGTTTAGTCATAGTAAATAATTGTTTAGTCATAGTATAATTGTTTAGTCATAGTATATATATGTATATGAAGGAGTTTTGATAAAGTGCTGTTCGACATCTTTCGAAGTTGACAACGAAATGATATGCTGACTGGGCTTGTCTAGTTCGTGCGTTCCTAGGTAGAATAGGGATAGGAGGTATTGGAATTTTTTTTGAACTTCCTTAGATTATATGTTGTTGGGAATACTTCCTCAGGCAATGAATTCCAGAGCCTAGCCGTTCTATGGATGAAGGAGTTTTGATAAAGTGCTGTTCGACATCTTTCGAGGTTGACAACGAAATGATATGCTGACTGGGCTTGTCTAGTTCGTGCGTTCCTAGGGAGAATAGGGATAGGAGGTATTGGAATTTTTTTTGAACTTCCTTAGATTATTATGTTGTTAGGAATACTTCCTCAGGCAATGAATTCCAGAGCCTAGCCGTTCTATGGATGAAGGAGTCTTGATAAAGTGCTGTTCGACATCTTTCGAGGTTGACAACGAATTGATATGCTGACTGGGCTTGTCTAGTTCGTCTGACTGGTATTGTTAGTGAAGGGATGATAGCAGAGATTTCCGAAGCACATTTACCGTGGAAGTATCGATAGAAAAGTGAGAGGTCGCCGACTTTTCTACGGTGTTCCAATGATGTCAAAGAGTGAGTGAGTGTGGCGTCACGCGTCACTCACCAGGCGGATGGCTCTTCTCTGGATGGAATCTAAGAGCATCAGCGTATGTTTTGATGCTGAACCCCATATGTGGGAACAGTATTCTAGAACAGGCCGTATCTGCGCTTTGTAGATCATGAGAAGCTGTTGAGGTGTAAAGTAGCTTTTCGCACGGAACAAGAATCCGAGTTTTTGTGAAGCAGCTTTTGCGATGTCAGGTTGCTGATGGAAATACCGAGCATAGATATGGTGGGCTTTTGAACAATATGGACTTTTACTAAAGATTATACAAAAAATTTCAAACTGTGGAATTTATGGGAGCAAAAGCTCTCTCAAATGGAGAGATCCAATCACCTTTGTATCAAACAATCTGCTAGAAACGCCCCCTTACTATGGTTTTTAAAATTGCAACCCCATGCATTTTTCGGTTCATCCTCATTCTCAATTCGACTGGTATTCTCAAAATATAAAGAAGCAAATGATTTTGCGGGCTTGTTATACTGTTACACCCAGTTATTTATTGAAGATTCAGAGCTACACACGGAGTCTGAAATAGGCGATATAAGGTAAGTGTAGCAAGTGATAACAGTCATTTCAAACAAACAAGAAAAAATCGATATTTTTTTCATGAATTATCGAAGTTATTCGAAATTTCCGAGGATGAATTTCTTGCTAAATATCTAGTCCGAAATATCACTGAATTGAGAATGAAAAGTTCTTTGAGATGAACCTCAAAAAACAAAGGGATGCAATTTGAATACCGAAGTTAGGTGGGTTTCTGGTACATTGTTTGACATGAGGGTAATTTGATTTCTTCGTCTTGGAGAGCTTTTGGTCCCATATCTTCCATAATTTTTCGAACTTTTTTTTTGTATGTTAAAATCAGGTATTTGCTGGCTTAAAAGATGTGGGACACCCGGTATACAGGAGAAAATTGAATTGGAAGAAAGTGTAGATTGCTTAGCAAATATTAAAAGTTGTTCAGTAAATACAATTCCCAAAATACCCCAGGTTATTATCTCTATATCTCTATCTCTATCTTGAAATGATACAAATCACAAAATGTCACTGCTTATATTAGAAACAGAAACCTAAGAGGAAAATTCAATCATTAGTCATTGACACCTTGTTCGAGAAATGTCTGTAGAAGAAAAATGTATATAAATTATTCTTACGTAAATATTTGCAATAATAAGATTAAAATATACGTGATATTTTATAATTTTTTCGTCTCCTTCCACTATGTTGAATACCTATAATTAAGACCATTAAGACCAAATTCAAAAGTGAATACTGCTGATATTTATCAGAATGGATGGATAAATAAAATTGGAGCACCTTGCATTATTGATTTGTGTGGAAGCACTGAAGATTTTTAATCTTGATACAGGGTGAATTTTAATGTCGAAATCACTGTTGTTTCATAAAAAAATTAAAAAAATCAGCAAAAACATTTTAAATCATAAAATACCAATATGTTTGGTTAATTTCTAGAGGGCCTGGGGAAATACAATCCTAGCCCATCATAATATTTGAAAAACGATAGTAATTCACATTCTGAAGTTAATTTCAATTTTAATATTGCAACAAGAGCAATAACTTCACCAAGGTAATTGATGGAGAAGCTTCATTGTCAATAATTTGTTTCATATATCATACAGTACCGTTCTGAGGAATTATTAATGGTACCTGAGTACCTACAGTAACTATTTATGTTATTCTTACGTAAACTCAAATCACAAAAAAGTTATCTTCAGAACTTGTTTGAACAATTTTTTGAACAGAATTGAACTGCTATTGATTGCAATTTTGTTAAATAATTAAATATAATATCTTTCCTTTCCGTAGCTATGCTAAGAAGGTTATTTCGTGGCCTAGGTATAGAAATAACTATTTGACTGCTACTAGTTACACTTCGATTCTTTCAGACTCAAAGATACTTGATCAAGATGGCGGCACCAAGGTCCAGCTCAAACGAGAACTGGGTCTCTTTTCCGCAATCAACTTCATCCTGGCCATCATGATAGGATCTGGGATATTCGTATCTCCTGCATCGGCCTTGAAATATTCCGGATCCGTAGGAATGTGCTTAGTTGTTTGGACAGCATGTGGAATGATCTCTTTGTTAGGTAAAATAACTAGTAACATACAGGGTGTTTCCTAATTGAATGTCAATATTATATTTGAGGTGATTCTTGGGCTCATGTTATGAAGAAAATTTCCATGAACGTATGACCTGCACATCTTAACTTTTGAGATACAGGGTGGTAAAGTTCTCAAAAGTTGATTGTTTTTCATTATTATCTGTAATACCACATTAGATATTTTAATGAAATTTGGCATACATATATCAAGAGACATAAGTAAGTATACCACATTTTTTTGTGTTGCCAGAAGTGGCGTTCGTATGGAATTTCACATACCTACTTTGGCATTGATGGTACGCCACTGATCAATCTCGAAATTGAAATCGTTCCTGAAATTTTCAAATTTCTAAGCAAATTTCATATCAACAATTTTTTCAATCTGATGCACGGTTTTCGCTTGAAAGAATAAAAACTTTTCACTGCATGATCATAACAATATCGTTAATATGACAATATCACAATGCAGAGAAATAGATTTTATTTTTTAGGTGAAAACCGTAATTCGGACTGAAACAATTCAAAAAGATTTGTATTCCTGAAATGTTATCTAAATATGGTACACTAACTGATGCCTCTTGATACATAGTACATGTATGCCAAATTTCATTAGAATATCTGAAGTGGTATTACAGATATTAATAAAAAGCTATTACTTTTTGAGAACTTTACCACCCTGTATCTTACGAGTTGAGACGTTTAGGTCTTACGTTCATTAAAATGTTCTTCTTAAAATGGGCCCAAGAACCGCCTCCTCAAATATTGACACCCTGTATAATAATTAGGTAATTTAGCGATAATCAATTTGTTGCATTGACATAATGACTCTCTTGCCAATTGTTTTGTGAGATTGACACTTGATAAGAAACGATAGTTAGGGCGAACATTGGAAAATATTTCAAAACTTTTGAATCGTATGATAATCAAGCTTATCGCAGAAATCTTATCTGAATTGTTGCCTGAAATTTTGGTTAGAAATGAGACTGAACTTAGCGAGATCCTTCTATGAATTTATACATATACAGGGCATAGTTTTTTCCATTTGCTGCTCTCTCGTTATGTACTTACAAAACATTCAAGCGATCCACTACACACTGTTTTACCACTAACCACTAACTAAGTGGTAAACTCTATCGTAATTTTCACCTTTTTTCTTTATTTTCTGGAGCGCACGAAAGGAAATTCATATAATGTTCGTGGAACATCGCGCGTAACAAGGTAACAGTAAGTTTTCCTTGAGCTTTCTGAACTTATAGAGTATGCATCTCATCTTTTTTACAACGAACATTATGTGTGAGTTCCATTCCATATGAGAATAATGATGACACCTATTTGATTTTTTTTATGGAATTGGATAATCTGTAGGATAATAGAAGAGGTGGTACATTCATTTTACTTGATTTTTTGGGATTTTCTCTCCTCGTTTCTATAAAATAAAAATATTCGTATTATTTCAATATATTTGTAGTGGGACAAATCAGAGGATTTGCCCCAAAATGTCACTGCGTTTAACAAATTTTTCTATCAGGGAGTCAAAGAAAAATCCACTAGCTTGTCAGTGACAATTTGTTTGAAGGAAAGAAATATAGATATATTAAAAAAATATCGAATTTTTACTTATCTTTGGACGTTTCGAGACCGAATCTGCTCCCGTTCTCAACATGAAAATGCAAAATATTCCTCTTTGGAAGTTGTGCTGCTTATAGTTTGACACTTTTCAGTGTCATACTGATGTTGGCATATGAAAACATCCTGTAACTCATTTGTAGACTAAAATCACTCATTCATATAAGCAGCACAACTTCCAAAGAGGAATATTTTGCATTTTTATGTTGAGAACGGGAGCAGATTCGGTCCCGAAACGTCCAAAGATAAGTAAAAATTCGATATTTTTTCAATTTATCTATATTTTTTTCCGTCAAACACCTTTCAAAGAAATTGTCACTGACAAGCTATTGGATTTTTCTTTTAGACTCCCTGATAGAAAAATTCGTTAAACGCAGTGACATTTTGGGGCAAATCCTCTGATTTGTCCCACTACAAATATTGGCGCTGCGATCGTAAAAAACTATATTTCACCATTTACACATTTCAACCCCCTGAAGACGAGGAAGAGTGTAGGGTGTGATATTTTCCCAGACAAACGCCATTGGGGTGATATTCACACGACAAATTAACGCTAAACGAACTTACTCACCTTGACACCTCTACATAGAAAAGAGAAAAATAAGCATGGTTCAGCAATTAAGGTATCATTTAGGTCAGACTAAAGCTGGTTTTAAGTGAGATGGACTACTTTATCAAGTGTTCGAAATGACCTCCATTTTCTTGAATACACAAGTTCACTCGTTTTTCAAAATTTCGCACTGTCGCTTCCAACATAGCAGGCGTTAAAGCCATGCACGCTCCTCTAATTCTATCTTTCATATTCTCGCGTGGGGTTCGCGAAACACAATGTTTTTGATGTAACCTCACAGAAAGAAGTCTGGGGAAGTCAAGTCGGGTGATCTGGGTGGCCAACTACAAACTAAATAGTAAAATATTGTTTCTCAAGATCGCAGCGCCATCTTGTGAAAATGAAAAAGAAGTTCCCGAATTAAAGCTTCTTAGTTTTTAATGCTCTTCCAGAATCAACAATAAAAAATAGGGGTTTCCATTAGAGATTTCAATGTTACCTCCATTTCCCACTCCCCTGGGGGTCAGGGGGTGAAACTTGTTTTATAACCAGACGTCCCCCTCCAAACCATACAACTTTTATTCGGCAATTTTTTTTGTCAGATGCATACATTTCGAGAAATTTCCAAATAAAGATTAAAATGGACCAGGTATATTGAAATAATACGCATATTTTTATTATACCGGGTGACACAGGTTATCGGGCCACCCCTGTTACTTCTGCATTCGTCAACGGATTTTTCTGAAATTCGGTACAGTTATATAAGCAACTATTTCGGATTTGATCACATTACAATCCAATATGGCGGACTTAAGGTTTTTCTGGAAATGCCAGCAATTTTGTTTTTTCAAATGGAACACCCTCTATATTTTTACATATTCAAGTTCAACAGGTCAAAACAAGTGCAATCTTGATGTCAAATGTCAATTTATTCCACAGCCTACCTAGTTGAAAAATTATTGCAAACTGCAAGGAAATTCATAAACTAGTTGTTGATTTTTGAATGTATACAATTTGTTGCTGAACCAAAAAACAAAAATGATATTTCATTTTGTTCCTTAATGTATGTTCTAGAGAAACGGGTAGGTGGTCATTTAAAAAAAAATAATTTTTGATCAAAAAGTGATGTGGCTGAATTGATTCCTGGATAAGTGACACAAAAAATAATTTTTCTGAAAAAATTATGTTCTCCTGTTATGTGTGACTCATTGTGAATAGTCTTGACCACATCTCATTTATCCACGAGGTAAAATGAAAAAACAATTTCAATTCAATTTCTTTCGGAAAAATGACATTTGAAATAAAGATTGCACTTGTTCCGACCTGTTGAACTTGAATATGTAAAAATATACAGGGTGTTTCATTTGAAAAAACAAAGTTGCTAGCATTTCCAGAAATACCGGAAGTCCGCCATATTGGATTGTAATGTGATCAAATCCGAAATAATTGCTTATATAACTGTACCGAATTTTCAGAAAAATCCGATGACGAAAGCAGAAGTTACAGGGGTGGCCCGATACCCTGTGTCACCCGGTATAAACGAGAAGAGAAAATCTCAAAAAATCAAGTAAAATGAATTGATAAAAATTTTGTTGATTATTTTCAGGAGCACTGGCCTACTCAGAATTGGGCACCCTCGTCCCGCGCTCGGGCTCAGAATACGCCTACTTCGTAGACTCATTCGGACCCCTGCACAAATTTTGGGGGAACTTGCCCGCTTTCGTCTATTCTTGGATCATGATAGTGGTCATAAGGCCTGCCGAAATAGCCGTTCTGGTACTGACTTTTTCGCAGTACCTTTGTCAGCCCATCTTGGATGCCTTCTGCTTGGCAGATGAGGAGTTGAGACAGAAAGTTATTAAGGCTATCGCCTTGGTAGCCTTAGGTGAGAAGTTACCGAACGTTCATAGATTTCGATTATTTGAGGTGAAACTGCACTTTATCATGCGATATTTTTTTTATACCTATGTATTTTTGTCTAAAAAACACGAATTTGATGATGAAAATGTGAACAAACCACTATTTATCGAGAAATTTCATGAAAAAGTTCGAAATTTCGCCTTCTTTTCCCCTTGTGTTGGATGCATTTACAGCTACTTGCTCTTCTTATTTTGTCATTGGACACTTGATATACTCATGATGTACTTCAATGACACATTTTTATAATAGAAAATTCAACACGAAATATGATTTTTTCTACAAACGCTTAACAAAGTAGCCTTTGACGCTTTCAAATTCCAACACAAAGTTGACGTTTTCCCAGAAATGTCATTCTTTGACAGCATTTGCGCTCGTGAGCGGAAATATTGAGAAAACGCTCGCACATCTCTGTAACCTATACTTATCCATTCTTGAAAACCCCCAATTCTTTCATGATGGAAAATAGTGACAGTGAACCATCAAACACACCTCCTGATATAGCAGAAAGCGCAAAAGTTTGAATCTCTTACCGGAGAAATCAAGGAAGAAATATGAATTACAATATGATACATTCATAAATTGGTGCCATCTCAAGATGGTGAATATGTATTCAGAAAACGTTTTACTGGCTTATTTTGGTGAAAAATCAAAGACTTTGAAGTCATCAACTCATTGGTCTATATATTCGATGGTACGTGTACATGCTTGAATGTTAAAATTAATATCGGAATCAATAAGTATCTGAAACTTATCGCATTTCTCAAAAAACAATCTATTGGATATAAAGCGAGACAAATCCAAAACATTCACCGCTGAAGATATATACCAACAAATTTCTACAAGAAGCTCCCGATGAAGAATATCTGTTGAAAACGGTGAATTATACTTTATATTCAAACTCTTTGTTATCATCAGAAAGACAGTGCATCTTTATTTTATTGCATCAATGAGTAATGTTTAATTTGATTGCAGAGTTTATTGTACTATGGCTCAGAGGTCCGAAGCTCAGGTTGCCACGTTGGTGGTCCAGTTTCAATTCTCGGCTGGCCCGAAATTTTTTTGTTGGGCTTGTCAGTTATTTTAAGTTTTTTTTTTGTTTTCTTTGGATATATGGGATAATATGGATATGAACTATTTCAACTATTCCAATCGCTCATACTTTCAGGGAAGTTATTTCCAAAAGCTGCGTTAGTAGAAAAAATCTTGTGTGTATTTCGAGCACAAAGTGTCATTGCCGCTCTCCAAAGATTACCGCGCTCCGCTCCGCATCGCGCGGTAACTTTCTTTGTCGAGCGGCAATCTATCACTTTGCGCTCTAAATACACAAATAGCTATTTATGGCGAGTTTTTGTCAAATGTCAACAGATTGCTTTGGAATGACATTACACACGCCATTATTTTAAATGATATTCTTCCTTCTTTTCACTAAATATAGATAAACCGCAAGAAAATCATATTTCTAGTCGGCTCATATAATAGAAAAAAATGTGCCATTGAAGTACATTGTGATATATAAATAGTCCAATGAAAACAGAAGGGCAAATTGTTCTAAATGCGATCCAAAAGACAGGCGGAAATTTGTAACTTCATAGTGAAATATCTTAATAAATAATGGTTTGTTCATATGTTCAGTATCAAATTCGTGTTGTTCAGACAAAAATACGTAAGTACTAAAAAAAATTTTCGAAAAAAAAAACCATCGCATGATAAGTTATTTACATCTGGGGCTTCAATTTTGAGAAGGGATGCCATAATATTCATTTCTCTGATTATTTCGCGATATTTTTGTCTCATCTCTACAGGGTGTTTCAGGATTATTGTGACAAAAGCCTAGGGGAGATTTCTCTCAACGAAATATGAAAAGAAGTTCCGAAAATGCTTAGTTCCTCATCATGTATATTTTATGTCTTTTTGTTTTCATAATAATGTGCAATACAGTTTTGGATTATATCTAAGCATTTTCATTTTTTCTTATGGAATTCAGAGATATGCCGAGGTACGAAAAAATAGCAAGATCCAAAAATTATAGTTTTTTAGAGGGTTCATCTGAATTTTTAAGAAGAATCCGAAAAAAAACACAAAGTAACACAACATTGATAAGAAATTATTTTTGTTTTTTAATTTGGATATGCTGTATCTCAGAAACGAAGCATTTTGCGACCCATGTTCATATGAACTTTGAGGAATCTACCCTAGGCTTTTGTCACCACAACTCTGAAACACCCTGTATAAATAAAAATATTGGTATTATCACATATCACCCAACTATAAAGCTTTGATGCCGCCTTTTATAGTAGGAGAGCCAGCTGCAAATTTCGACCCTCATCTGATAACGAAATGTTATATGTTCCAAAGGCATGTGGAAACTTTGTATTTTATGAAACGGTACCTGTGCCGATCAGTATCCTGAGCAGAATGATTAAAAAATAGAACTTTCCTGTGCGGTGCACAGTTCTCAATTTCGCGATTTGATAACGAGATGAAAATTATGCGATCCGATACTAATTGAATGGTAGATCTCAAATACCTACCTATCGGCAAAACGATTAATTTGTTGCCATTATTCCGGACATAATTCCGTCATGTGATGTCATGCGAAATATTCTCGGGAATATTGAAGCTCATCTGCCACCAACTCAGATCAGTTTGAGTCGCGGCACGTTTGGATATTCGCAAAGGGGAAATTATCCACTTTCATTTGCTCATTGTTTCAACTCGTTATCACATGACGGAAGTATATCCGAAATAATTGCAACAAATAAATCGCTGTGCCGTGGATTTGGCCAAGATTGAGAGGTAGAACAGGTCGGTATTTGATATCTACCATTCAATTGGTCTCGGATGGCATAATTTTCCTCTCGTTATCAAATTGCGAAATTGAGTGCAAATTACCGCACTGGAAAGTGCAATTTTTCAATCACTTTACTCAGGATAGTGATCGGCACAGATGCCGTTCGATAAAATACAATGTTTTAGATGCCTTCGATATCAGATGGCGGTCGAAATTTGCAACCGGCTCTTGGACTATTATGTTCCATAGCTCGAAATTCGTTGCCTTGAATAACACCACCATAAACACATAGAAAAGGTATTGTTGATTTCACACATCACTGAAAAAAGAATCTTGCGCCATTCGTAGAAATAGTAACAGTATTTCTGTGGCATATTCATAATTTGATTCCAACAATTGAGTTTGAGGTCAAAGAAAATGATTGAAAAAAGATGGCACAGCCGTTTCATTCACACTATTCAATCAAATATCTATCGAGCCCAAGAAATTAAATATTCCTATATTAAAAGTAGTTAATTGTTGTGACTGGGTGTCGTCGAATAATGAGAACATAGGACAGATTGCGCATATTTATAACAAATTGAACAGTGTAATAAAATTCAGAGTGAACTGACATAAAAACTCTGACAGCATCAACTAACTATCATTTCATTCTGGAGACAGGGTGATATTTTCACAATATTAATCATATTTGAAGTATTTGCAGCAATATATTTTTGACGTAAAAGGTAATTCAACCTCTCTGTAAACCTATTATAAAAATTAAAATCAATACGCAAAATAAAATAACACGTCGCCCTACTTGACGGCAGCAACTTGAACACTTCTGAGCGATTTGTTTTGATGATATGACCAACATAAGCACAAACAAAAAACACATGTGAACCAATGAAAACAAAGTGAACGCTTTGACAGCTTTCAAGAACTCCAATAGGTGGCGTACGCTTATTTTATATCGCGAATAGGACTAGTTTATGATAGAGTCACTGGATGGTATTAGTTTGATAAGAGTTCGGACACAGCTGAACTTTTGTCCTTTTCTATTTTCTATAATACAATGGTTTGAGTGAATAAAAGAATAAGACATATATCCTGCTCTTTGTCTTTTCAATTTACCTAGTAGCGCCTGATTGTCAGATACGATTTTAGAGGTTATATTTTCTGTCAAATCAATCATAGCCGTAGATGGACAATGGATATAGGGTACAAACACCCACTTCAATTAATAGTGATAAACTTCTAGCAGAGCAACTGTTATATAAATGAAAAGAATGCATGTAACAACATTTTAATATTAGAAAATATACACATATGGATAAACTTATAGCTATAATTCCTTATTGTATGTGAAACTGTACTCCAGTGATAAGTATAAAACATGAATTTATTAATATTAAATTAAAGGTATAGGTATTCTCAATATACAGGAAGTAACATAAGTACGTTCAATTGAAGCAGTCCTGAGACAATTTCAAGAAATATAGTCTATATAAGCTTGTATCCGGAAATGCTTCATTCCGGAGATACAGAGCTAGGGTGTTGAAATACAGAGAACAAATCATTTTTCGATAAACATTTCATGTGAAAATAGTTATTTTTGTATCTAGAGCGCGAAATGCTACTTTGGTGATCGAGATCTGATTTTTTTAACGAGGCGTAGCCGAGTTAAAAAAATAGTCGAGATGACCAAAGTATTTCGCGCTCGAGTTGCAAACAAAATTTTTTCTACAAACGTCAAAAAATATAGTTCGAAAGTAAAAATATGCTTAGCTTGATATAAAAAATAGTGTTGAACTGGCTCAAAAGGCCTCCTTCTATCTCCCCAAGGTACGCACGATGTTCCACGAACATAATAAGAATTTCCTTTCGTTCGCTCCAAGAGATAAAACAAAGTTATTGTTGAACATTCAGAAATAAATGATTTCGTGGATGTTTGCTCGATTGAGGACCATTCAGTTGAAATATAAATATCTCATATATTTTACATAACAATGCGCGAAGTAGGTACTTCGCGCACTGTTTTACTTCGCGCATTGTTTTGTGTAAGGTATCATGGTAACGTAGGAAACTGAAAAAAAGTGTCACTTCGCAATTTGTTATCAATGCGCGAACCTTGTCATTTTTTGACGTTTGTAGAAAAAAGTAATTTATTTTGACGAGACCTACCAAATACTTGATTTTAAAAAGTTCTCAGCAACTTCACTTAGCGCCCTAGGAGCTAAGTAACATGGATCGATATAGAAAATATCTCCAAAACGATAAGCTCCAGCATAATTAAAGCCCTTATAATAATTTCCTTGATACATAAATATCTATTCACTTTCCACTGTTGAATTTTGAATTTGGTCGGTACCAAAAACGCCATTCAATGATATATCACGTTGTAGTTTACTTGCTTTTCTTAGTTTCGTTAGTTTCCATGATTATTTTGTTTTGCATTTTGTGTGATGATAATAATGGAATTTTGTTCTTGAAATCGTCTGCTTTGTAAATTGATGGAACAGCAGATTCTCTCAAACAGATTTTGAAATCTTCTGTTTGAAAATGGGCCTAAAATATAGTTTCATTCTAATCAGATGCTGTTATAAGAAGGGAATTTCAATGAGTACCTCACAAATTTCGCTCGTCTTCAAATTGATTTTCCACCCAGGCCGTTCCATATTATCTTCCTTCCATAAGCGAATGCTTGATGTTTGATTTGGAAAATTGAATAAATGATATCCATTTTTTTCAGAATTGGCACAATTTATTACACAGCAAGTGATTTCCATATAGCTGATTTTTTTTTAAAGTACCATTATGAAATTTCATTTCAATTCTGACGTTAATAAAATTAATTGTCAAATTCGAACAATTTTGAATGAAAAAGCGCGGGACGACTATGGTGCTCTTGTCACAATGCAAGGTGTTTAACTTAATAAATCTAAACATTCAAAAACCCTAACCGTTGTCATTTCTGTGTCCGAACTCTTATCAAACTAATACCATGCAGTGACTCTAGTTTATGACAACTATTTCTACTATTTCGACCTGACAAATACCTCATTGAGTTTTTACTATATCATTGAAGTGTCATTTCCATTTCAGGTATAACCACATACATAAACGTGAGCAGTGTAAAATTGTACGTGAGGATTCAAAACACTTTTGGTTCCTGCAAAGTAATTGCATGTCTGATAGTCATATGTGGAGGACTATATCAAATTTGCCTAGGTAGGTAAGTAATTTCATATAAAAATTTTCCCCATATTTTGAAACTGGATTTCATGACTAGTTAAAAAATATTTACAGGGTAACGCTAATTTCTTAGAAACGGTTTGAAAGTCAGCGACAAGGGAGGGGGATTTAGGAGGGCACTGTATATTTTGTGTGTTTTAGGAAATACTGATAATTTAAAGAGAGGTTTTGAAGGAACTAGTACATCGCCAAAAGACTATGCCTTAGCTTTTTATAGTGGTCTTTGGGCCTTTGATGGGTGGTAAGAAAATTTACACCAAATATACATATAACACGCTCTTGAAATATCGGCTATAGACTAAAAGTTCATTTTTGCATTTGAAGGTCAGCAGTTACCACTATCACCGAAGAATTGAAGAAGCCAGATGTGTAAGTATAATTCTATGACATAAAACAAATTGGTGGGCAAACCATAAAAAATGCAGATACATGCGTTTCAGTCTTATAAATCGTAAATAAACTACAGTGAAATATAGCAAACCACAATATTACTATAAAAACAGTTTTATTTTTCCTATATAAAATTCTCTATATCCAAAAAAGTAGACAAAAACGAGAACAAAAAAAGATAATAGAATCTTCAAGAGAAAAAAACAATCACCTAGTCATTTACATGTACCAGTTCGATACGGGAGCCCAACATATCTTTTCATTAGTCTCTATTTCAAGAAATATTCAAAAACACCTCGTTTCCGACATACAGGATGTTTCGTTTTTATTAATATCTTATAGATGCACGGGCAATTTATGAATAATGATTTCAGTTCTCATCCTAATTTTGAATCGATTAAAATATTTTGATCGTCATACAGGTTAATAATTATTTATCACTATTTATTATTCTTTGACATTGCTGACTGCCTTTTCTAGTAACATCCCACGGAGTATATACATAGCAGTCCCCATGGTGACTGTTCTCTACGTCTTCATGAACATGTCATATATGACAGTTCTTACCCCCACCGAGATGATCAATGCCCAGGCAGTGGCAGTGACTTTCGGGGAGAGAATACTAGGAAAATTTGCCATCATCATCCCACTGGGTGTTGCCCTCAGTACTTTTGGATGTGCTCTCAGCCTTCAATTTGGAGTCACAAGGTGAGAATGAAATATGCTACTTGAACAGGGTTTCAGGTAATGAGTCAAAGAACGGTTATTACCAGAATTTCAGTAATTCAACTGGAATTTATTTGTCAACACTCTATCCCTGAAGTTTGACTATTCAAATTTGAATCACCCCATACAATATATTTTTTTGAGGAAGCCTTGGTTGAAGTAGAGAAGAAAGAAGTTGTTATGGATGCTGATTATCTCTGAAAACATTTCTAAAAGAATACTTGATTTTCGAAATGACTTCTTTCTAACGAGATAATTAATTAAAATGTCGTACATAACCTTAATGACACAGGAACGGTGACATATAATATGTTTTTTAGATACTATATCCGACCGGAGTCTGATACAATGTTTTTTTATGACAACCATATCGGGTACTTGCATTTATCTGTCAAAACAGCCACTTGAGTTGGCTCCAAATCTCATGTTTTTGTTATGGATACATAATTCGAAACAAAAAATCAATAGGACTATTTTTTCACTCGATTGAATGTTGACATCACTATTGAATATTTGGAAAACAGTTCATTTTACTCCTCGTGCTATTGCGGTTATGTACCAAATTTCAGTTCATTATCTTCAGAAAAAAGGGTTTCTTTCGAATCGTTTTCTGATTAAACAATGCTGCATTTTTTTATCTACAGAGATCTCAATGGGGAAAAAACAAGCAATATGACTATTTTGTTTTAGGTTATGTTATGTTTCTGGGCAAGACGGATTCATGTTAGAAAGTTTATCATATGTTCATTACAAAAAGCTCACCCCCAGTCCGGCTGTAATTCTACAAGGGATTATATCTTTCTTATTCATTGCCACTGGAAATATTCTTGAGCTGATTGAATTCGCAAGTTTTTTGATATGGCTGTTTTATGGTATAGCGATGATTTCACTACTAGTTATGAGAAAAACAATGAAAGAAACTCATCGCCCATACAAGGTAAAACGTGTTCTATACAAGAAAGAATTATGTGTGTGATGAATTCAACTTTCAGATGCAATGATAATACTAAACGTCATTTCAATAACTAGATACATCACAGACTCACTCATCAATGTATTTCTCATTTGAATTATGTTTCAGGTTCCTATATTCATCCCAGTATTTATATTTATGGTTGCCCTGTATCTCAGTGTGATCCCAATAATTTTAGATCCTACACCTAAGTATTTGATGGCACTTGGTTTTATGCTGATAGGAGTGTTCATTTATTATTGGTTCATATACAAGGACAAGAGACCTAAAGCTATGATGAGTAAGTTGGCCGAATCCATGACATTATAGGAATTTTCTTTCGTGCGCTCCAAGAGATAAAAATAAACTCTCGTTTTTAGTATCATATTGATAAAACGTGATCTCTATTCTATACAGTTTGATATATTATTTGATTGAATATAATATTGTATATATTATAAAATTGAATTTTGTGGAATTATCACTTGATTTTGTGACGCAAAACATTTATTGAATAGACATCAATACATTGTTAGACTGAATATTGGTAACATTTGTTCAAGACATTGGATACAAGAACTTGATATTTCTTTTTTTTTTTAGGATCGATAACGCATTATGTTCAACTATTATGTAATGTCGTGCCGCCAGAATCTGAATAAAACTTTTTATAAGACTCGAATCTTCTATCATTATTACAGTTTTAAACAATGGCCAAGATGGGAGAAAAGACCCTTTTTGTAATTTTGACACTTCTCAAAACTGAAACGCATCACTTCACATGACCAGTGGCGTTAAGAACAATATTACATAGCTGGTGATGAAATATTCATTTCAATACCAGTTACGTCATAAAAATATGGACGGAGGAAGAGAATAGTACATTTTGTGCTGCTTCCTCGACATCACTTGGGAAATCTGAACTTGAATCAGCCATTTCCCACTAATGATGATATCAAACGAGTCTATTTGGGTGATGTTCCGAAATTACTGACATTACTGGCCACAGTAAGCAATTTAGGATCACTAAACAGTAGTAATATATCGACTACTCTATATATGAAGCATAGCTGTCCTCAAAGCAGGACCAACTTTTGTCTCTAGGTAACGAAATCGACCAATAGGCGTTGATGCCGACGTAAGGAAAAAATAATAAAAAACTTGTAAAACCAATACGGCTACGAATTTACAATTTTTAAATTGGTTTTAGCGCGTATGTAATTGATTGTGATTGAAATTCGAATATTCGCGTTTATAGTTGTACAGTTCTTTAATGTTTGTGTTTTCGTTTATTTTTCATTGACTGAACTGTTTTAACCATGTCTAGTGGAACGAAATGCAGTATTCGCAAAGAAAAGAATAGACAATAATCCTCTTTTCATAAGTTTGGATTTCAAAATTTACTATTTATACATGGAATGGTTGATATCCAATAGGTATGTGTCGTAAACTCGACTAGTGTGTATACTGTGTATATAGCCCTATTGACGTTAAATGTCGAAATAGTATTCACTGATAAATTGAGTTGGAATTCAACTGCTAAATCTCATGACTAAGAGATCTAGGATGAACAGAGTTGCCCCAATTGTCAGCAGGAGCGAGACAGTACTGGTTCGACCCACCAGGTCTCATCAGCCGCTCTCGGTCTGCTGACAACTGGGACAACTCTACGCTTCGGGTATATCACCCATTTCGAAGACGCAGGGTATAACATGAAGTTGTAGTCATGTTGTAGCCATCTTGTCGCAAAGCTCTGAGGTAGGATACAGAGATAAATTATTATTATTATTATCTCTGTATCTATACTCTATACTATAGCAGTTGAATAGGTGGTGGAAAAATTCCACTCAAGTATGTCTGGTAGTGTCATCTGTCAGCAGTGATTTACCACTCTGTAGCGTATAGACGTAGGGGTCTGTACGTGTGACTATAGATGGCAGCGCCATACAGTGTATGTCGCGATATCTCTGTATCCTACGTCAGAGCTTTGCCAAAAGATGGCTACAACATGACTACAACTTATTCATGTTATACCCATATACGTATTAATAAACAATACGGATCATAACGGGTGCCAGGATGAAGCCAAAAATATGAAACAAATGAATATCCATAAGGATTTGGTGGCATGATACGCATGCGCCATGCGCTATTATAGTAGTCATCAAAGACATGCGTTTCGGTGGACAATGACGTTTACTAGCCTTTCAATCAAAGCAGTATGTGTCTGATCGTTTCAAAACTTTTCCTTATGGATAGTCATTTGTCTTCAAAAATCGGCTTCATGTTTCACTATGGAAACAGATAGAGATTATCCGTATTGATTATTAATACGTATATGGTTATACCCTGGAATTGTTGACGTGAAGGTCAATTTCAATTCGGCTCATGTATTGGCGTAGTAAGTCTGTAAGTCTGAGAAGATTTCATAGTTTTGTCAGAGCTGCTACAAGTCTATCGGATTACATGTATAACAGATAATCTGAGTAGTTCAAAGTATATAGCACTCATGTGGCTCGGGGTTATGTCAGCTATCAATATTTGCTCATTTATGCACAGTAACGAAATTTGTGCACAACACTTCATAAATGAACATTATAAAGATGCCTCAAGTTGTATTATGCCTTTGTGTTGCTAGAGAATGTATGGTATAACCACAGACTACAGGAACACCATATCGTCGTAACCTCACTATTCATAGGTCACGTACACGATGACCGACCCTGGAGGTAAAATATTGAAACACAACCTCACTCTTCCGTAAAACATTGAAACACAACCTCACTTTATTCATTTGTTTACAGAGGAATCAGAGGATTGAAATAGTTTTTCACGATATTTTGGCATACTAATCGTGTTTTTTTTTGCGCTATTCATCAATTCAAGCATGCCTTCTCATTGTGCCGTTGTACAATACACAAAAAAAAATGCAGCGAGAGAAGAAGGAACATGATTTTTCAGCTGAATAGTAATCTTAAATAGTTTTCACTATGAAATTTTGTCATATCTCATCAACATTCATTCTGCCACTTCTGCAATACAAGCTAATACTGCTAATAGATTGAAAATGTCTACAACACACGATCATATTTCGTCAGCATGTCAGACCAGTCCTCCCGTTTGATTGCATGAATCCTATTTCTTGCATTCCTTCAGAAATTTCACGAGTATTTCTATTAGCCCCTATTGCAGAAAGAATTCTGATGAGAAATCAGAGAACTTACCAAATTTCAAAATAAAATGTATATGTGAGTGACTAAAGTAGGCGTTCAGTTTTGAATCATAATGTACCAACCGGATTCCTTCGTCTCCCGCTGCATTTTTTGTGCATTGTACAACAGCACAATATGATGGCATGTGCGAATTAATTAATAGCCGAAAAACACAATTTGTATGCCAAAATAATTGTGAAAAACTATTTCAATCATTTGTAAACAAATAAAAAAAGTGAGTTTCTGTTTCAATGTTTCACCTCCAGGGTCAATCATCTGACAGTTCTTGCACGCAAATCATTGATATAAGTTTCATGTATTTCCATGTCATGTAGATAACAGATGACCCCAACCCTTTTATCACACCAGCGGACATATCTATCTGTTTGTCTATCATACATGTATTATCAAAGAATCAGTACTTCATTTATGAGTATATTAAAACTATTTATTTCAATTCTAAGATCCCTAATTACAAATAATCATCACTAGTTTGTCTGGTATCATCACTATCGAAGTTACCTTCATATCTGATACTATCCATGTCCATGATATCCTCAGGTTCCGACTTCAGAAACCTGTCCATATTATCCATAGAGTCTTCTTGATCGCTGCTATTCGAGTCGCTCTCGTCATGTTTGCTCATCGAGGCGCTGCCTCCGTTGGATTCCGAGTCGCTGAAGGGCACATTTGGATTGTCGGAGTCGTTTCTGAACAGTGCCAAGGTGTGACTCGGCGGATGGCAAGTGTTGGAGTACAACTGGGAGATGACGCAGTCCGTGCAGAAATCGATGGATTCGGAACACGAGATGCAGTGCCATCTGGCACCTTCGATTGGATCAGAATCACAAAAATCACACTGAAAAAAAATTAAGAATATCATGTGACTCAGTCATTTTATACTACAGGGATCAAAATGAAATCAGAGACATAGGGTAGTGAACTATTTTTTCCCAATTACTAACGGGAACTTCAGAAACATTATTTATTTAGTAAGTCATGAATTCTCAATTATGTATCAATAATATCTTTAATCAGTTATAAAAAAGTCATTGGCTCAAAATTGTCTCTCTTATATGTTGTGTCTTATTGCTTATCATGAATTTGTGTTGATGATAATTATATCAATTGACACTAGAGGATATTTGGTCCGGTAAACGTGACAACATTGTTGGCATTGTCTTGTCAGTTCTCAGCATTCAACACATCATTGCCAAGTCTCTATAGCCAATATTTACATGATGTTTTGTTATGTATAAGTATTTCTACAAGCTGGTTGCGCGAAAATGTAACAAATTAATAACTATAATATCATGGCTTCCTCCTATCAGCTCCAATGAAATATTTTATTTGGATGTAGTTTAATTCAACGACAGGACTCGCAACTTTAATAGGCTTCTTGATTATAATTGGTGATCTGACATCCTTGGTTTATGAGTGGGAATGGAAAATTATCTGACCAATAATGCAACAGCATTAAGAACTGACATCACCAAATATTCGACGTATCCCATAACATGATCAAATGGCGGCTATGATGGCACTTTCGAAATGTGAGTTTTGGAATCCAACAATTTCGAACAACGCATAGACACAGTATTTACATCAAAAACGTGTAAAAAATGTTGCAAAAATTAATTCAGGTCCCTATGGATACAGTGGAGTAATTGTATGCCAACTATTCAGTACCAGTACGTATTGAAGTCGAGATTGGAGTGGTATATTTTTATGTCATTCTTTTAATGATGAAAGATGAAATTTCGTTAATAGGAAAACTTGGAGAAATCTAATATTTTGGGAATATTCGTTACATCATATTATGTCTTGTTGATTTTGTTCAATTCATTTTCACATAACCTTATAGTTGAGACACCTAGGATCATTTCGAGTTTCATGCATTATATGAAATAATTCTAAATGGATCCAAATTTTACATAATCGACTGCCTTTTTGAATGATTCTTGTTTCATGATTGACATTTCTAGAGATTGAAAAATTGTCCCATTTTCATCTTCGTTTGTGAGCCAGCTTTATTCAAGCTTTCTGATATAATTATGCATTAGCTGGCATGTGACTGTCATTTCATACACCAGGTCAATGATTTCCAAAGTTTAAAATGTCAGAAAATACAGATTATATTGAAATAAATACATATAATTTGACCCCTGAGGCACCATAAAAAAAATTAAAGGATTCGAAATAATATCTGGTCATCATAATAATTATATATTTCAGTGCAGATGGCACAATCAGGCGAAATTCAATAATTTTTATTGTTTTGATGTAGAGTGCTTATTTTTTTCTTTTCTTGTTTAATTTTCAAGATGAAACTTTTGTTCATCATAAAACTTTGAAGGAATTTAATATTATGGAAGTATGCCTTACACTGCAGTGTTCAATCTTTACAATTATGTCAACTTACTCTTGTAGTTGATAAAGTAAACCAGCATATTTTAGCTTTGTGCTATAGATGGAATGATTCTAATTGGGTCAGAATTACACATTTTACAAAATTTTGAATGATTTTTGCTCCATGATTGAAATTTCTAGAAATTAGAAAACTGTTCATCTTATTTTGAGGCGTGTTCACAATTTGGCTTTTGGCATTTAGAGTATTATCATCTCATTGTTCAATTTGTCAGATAGCGCTTACAAAGGTCAATACTAGAGTCATTTTCAGTCAGAGTTTTCACAAAGAAGTTCAAATTGTTTGACTGAACTACACAAATATCGATAAAATAGACACGAATTATACTTATTTATGTCATTATTATGCAGTGTGGGAATAGTGATTGTAAAATAAAAGTTTAATTTCATGTTTCAGTGAAATATGATTGTTGAAAGGGAATAATTCATTGTCATAAATAACAAAGAAATGGGATCTTAATTGTTGATATTCAATTGGAATGTGGTCTAAAATAGGAAATTTATACGTGAACATTTTTTTTGAGGAAGTTGGTCTAATTCGGGAATGTCAGAATTCATAATATATAATTTTCCTATAATAAACTAATTCGAAAATTTCTTTGATATTAACCCAGAAATAATTGAAATTGTTAGTTCATTATCTTGACAATTAATAGAATATTTTATTTTCTTCTTTTTTTTCTCCAAACTATAAATTGACATATAATTATTGATCAAAATTTTTGTCTCAAATTAAAATGATTAATGGAAAATTATTTTCAGTTTGCATTGTATGAATGAAAACATTATTAAAAAGAATTTGGAATTAAGTTCAACTAAACTAGGTATAAATTGAACGCAAAATGATCTTTAGCTTGCATTGTGAAAGTCGAAACACTATATGAAATGATTTGAAATGACCTTCAACTAATTTCGTATGCACCTTATATCCAACATGTTTGAACATATTCGCCTCCTGTTGCTCTAGAATCTTCTCGTTCCTCACTCTCTTCAATAACTGCAACTGCAACTCGGCAAAACTTTTCTGTCTGACATCGTTATTCTGATGATGATATTCAGATTGCAACAAATAATTCGACGGGTTTGATGTGGTAGCGGTAGAAGTAGAAGGTATGGTGTGTATACTGGGCCCGGGGGTAGCTTCTTGGTCGTTCATTACAACAGGGGTGGTGAATTCTGGGAAAAACGTGGTCGGTTTCCATAAGTAATGGTTGAAACGTTGATGTTTGTGCAAGGATTTCTAAAATTTAAATATGTAACATAAGCATAAAAAGTTTTATTTCGTCAAAAATGAACATTAGATCACAAATTTTCATTGATACATCACACGTCATAGTTAGGCCTAGAATAGGCAAGTGGCCTTTTTTTTTTAAATTTCTTAAATAGAATCATCTCTCAAATACCTTTCAATTCCATGTTTTTTTTTATCAATAATGCCACGGTGATTTTCAAATGACTAGAAATTTACCGCGAGTAAATACAGACGTCACGATTTCGTAAGTAGGAGCAGACCATAGTACAGTTGCCATATGTTGAAATATAAGTTATTCAATAATCCACAAATTCTCAATTATGTATTGGTAATATTCCTGATTAGCATTAAAAAATCAATTGTCTCAAAATGTTCCCTCACGTGTTGTGGCTTACTGCTCATGATGTAAATAATAACTATATTAATTCACACTAGAGGACATTTGAACCGGTAAACTCTCGGGTAAACGTGACAACACGGCGCACGACTTGTGGGCGTGATCTTGTCAGTTCTCAGCATTCAGCACAATGTTGCGAAGTCTCCAACATTTACATATTTTGTTATGGAGTGTAAGAAATATCTGAACATGCTGGTTGCTCGAAAACGTCAAGAATGGCAACCTTGCTTCATGAGTGGGAATGAAAGATTATTTGACCAATAAAAAAAACAGCATAAAAACTAACATAACCATTTATTCAACCTATCGCCGAATGGCGGCCATGACGGTACGTTTGAAATGAGTTCGGAAATTCAACAATCTCCAACAATGCATAGACTCATTGTTTACATAAAAAGGGTAAGAAGTGTTGCAAAAATTAATTTAGGTCCCTAACCACACAGTGGATTAATTGAATGCCAATAATTCAATATTAGTCCACTTGCCCATTCCTTAATGAATATGACATTTTTGTATAATTAGATTATGTACACTTGACTAGCATGGACAGTCAGACATAACCATTAATGATTTTGGAACATCATTTGTTTTTGGGAAACAATAACATGAATACGCTTCTCGCACGGATGAAGGCTTTTTGTATCTTTCTTTGTTCAGAGAAGAGTACAACCATCTTTCCATTCGAAAAGTATTGAACAGCTGAATACTACTAAATGAAACCATTCATTTGAGGTATCAAAAAGGGGTATTGTCATTTGAGTTTCAATGAATTCGCCCCCAGATCCAAACATTTCTACCAAATGGAGTTTTTACAACTTTTTCATTTTGTGATATATTAGTATTGAATGTGTTTAAATTGATATCCTGTATTCAACTCTAAAGAGAGATCTCAAGTGCAGGATACATTGTGCATTAATGAAATGAAATGAAGTATTCTCCACACTCGTTAAAAATCATTTTTCTCGAAATACAAAAATATACAGTATGTATAACTTTGTGGAATGAGATTTATTCAAGAAATATTGACATTGCATTGTTTGGGTATATCTAAATTAAGAATTGCAAAAAAAAGGTTACTTCCTCGAAAACCAAGTTGTATAACCTTATTGCCTATATTTCTTTCCGATTTACTACTATCATCAAATAGTTAAATCAACATTGAATGTGTTCTTCTAAACTGCAGTACAGAGTATTTAGTTAGTGTGAAATGAATAGGTCGGACTGTTTTGCTAATAGAATTTTCTATGTTTTTTAATGGTATTTTAATTTTACATTCACATATATTTACCTTATTTCTTTCCCCTGACTTTGGTGGTCTTCCAGGTATAGGTAATCCTGCTCTGTACAGTTTCAAAAAATACTTTTGTATCCTACTTGAGACTTGTGACACAGTTCTGTTACCTACAACAGAAATTTTCATTCCAGGAATTATCTGCTCCAAAAGTATGAGGTACCCTACCCAATGCTTTCGCAATCTTTTGGTATCTCTTCCTTTCAACTGGTTCTGGAGGATACACCAACAGCAATTCTTCAAGTTTTTTCTGTTCTTCAATGGTCCATCCCTAGATATTTGATATTATACAAGATCAAGTAATTGTTTTATGTTGAAATATTACAATTACAATACAATTAAGATAATAGTTGTCGTGGAAAAACTGAAAATAATGGGATGGAACATGAATGAATATAAACAGTAAATATGCAATAATGTCAGTGGACATCAACTTTCTAATTTCAAATGAAACACCCCACATTAGATGACATTTTTGGATTGGACACCAAGCTAGGCTAGACCATGAATGTAACCTACTATCTGGAGACCATTCAGCATGCGCATTCAAGACCTGTCATGTTACACTTATGCATTGAAGGTTAAGTAATGAATAAAATATGCAGAAATCAGTTCAAAGCTTTCAAAAGGTGAAAAATAAGAAAATGTTGAATAACAATGCTCTGTGAGAGTTATTGATCAATAACATTCTTATTTTAAGCTCAAAAATATATACAGGGTATGTCACGATGGATTCTTCCTGAAGAGCTGATTTCATCGATGTATCACACTTGGGGTCTATCGGAAATGATTACAGAGATATAGGGTGTTCAAAATCGAGATTTTCCAACTTTAGGATTTGTTTGTGTCGAAACTATTCATTATCGGCCAAAATGGCTTACATGTCCCTATCTCAACTTTTGATTTACTATTTACAGATACGGGTTGATCAGAATTCTGAATCTTGAACCACCCTGTATCTGTTCCGATTAAATATCAGTAAATATTGAATCAAAAGTTGAGATAGGGACATGTGAGCCGTTTGGACCGATAATGAATAGTTTCGACACAAAGAAATCCTAAAGTTGAAAAATCTAGATTGCGCACACCCTATATCTCTGTAATCATTTTCGATAGAGCCCAAGTGTGATACATCGATGAAATCAGTTCTTCAGGAAGAATAAAAAAATGCGATAAAATACAGGGTGTTCCATCTGAAATATCAATGTTTCTAATACTTTCTAGTAGAAGCGGCAACACTGCATTGTCGAAAATATTTTAGATTGAAGAGAGCGTATTCTGAAATATAAGCATGCACATTTTCATGGATTTCTCCCGACTGATTCTAGATATAAAGATAGTGTAAGCTCGTCGTGACATACCCTGTATAAGGTAGCAGAATCGGTGAATGACAGTGAGCTAGTAGCCAAAATGAGACTTTTTTTTCATATAAACATGTGTCCTAAAACGCACTCCCTCCGAGCTACAGCCACTGTAAGTTGGGTAAAAAAACAACTATCTGAAATGGGGAAGACCACTGAGAGAAGAAATCCATGCAAACCTCTTTCAATCGACGAATCATGATTTACGTTTGATGTACAATATTATGAGTTAAACTTGAAGGGAATCGAATCTATATCGTTTTGAAATCAGCATATTTCATTCGATATTTCAAACAGCCAAATATGATGATGGAGTCGTGACGTATTAGTCCCGAACTGTAGCTATCTCTCTCTGATACATCGTCATTCCACAGTGTTGCAGGGTGATTGGTCAGTTCAAGGACAATAGGCGTGTTGGTAATAAGACATCGCACCAGTCACACCAATGAATTGACATAATTTCAAATGGCGCGGAAATTGTGTGTTTTGAAATGGACATATTCTAATTTATTTTTTCCATCGTCTTAGCATGAATGACAAAATTCAAAATTAATTCGCTGGTAGTTTTTCAGTATAGAGTTCACAATAATGTTATTTTAAAAAATCAGTGGTCTCCCCCATTGTGATCATATTAACGGATCAATTGCAAGTATTTCAGTACTGCACGCCTCTGAAATAGTAGTCTCAAATGCATCCCGACATACGATAGCCTCCGTATGCAAACGTTTAACCGATTGCATTTGAAGAGGATATCGCAACTTCCCCCTCCCTGATTTCGATTTCCTGGCAAACGGTTAGTTGTATGAAAAAATACGAGACCGAATTCTTACATTTTTTAATGGCCCACAAGATAATGCTATTCAATATCAGAATTTTTCTCTTTAAACATAAAATTTGGTCAATAAAAGGACCCGCCTCCAACTCCCCTAACACTGGGTTTATATCATTTTTGAAGCACCGGGAATTAAAGTTTAAAAAAAAAGGGGAATGCCAACTTTCAGAAGATTTGATCTGTTATTTTAGTCACAATTTCAGATAATCTTTTTTTTTCTGTGACGGGAAAAAAGTTTGGCATTTCATCTCTGTTGGCAGGTTATAAAATGTCACTTTTCATAAATTACTTTTGTTGTGCTATATTTCCGAAAAATGAGTCAATAATACCGTCTCCAAGAAAGAACTGCAAGTCCTAAATTTTATCTTCCATTCGACTTTGCGGTTACGTACATTACTAAACAAACACTAAATCGAATCACAGAATAAGACTGACAGAAATGACATCAGATATTTGATTACTTCAAAAGAATGATAAAGATGCCTACAACACAGGTGTCCCTACTGTTAAAAACTAAAAATTTCACGTGGATAATTTTCAGATTTCAAAATAATGTAATATCTGCTCAATATTGATTCGCCCTTTCTTCTGTCACAGAAAAAAATAGTGTATTATACACGGGAAAAATATTAGATTTTAGCTCACGGTTTTTTGTTTCCCTCCGCTATGCGTTATAAGGGAGACAACACAACCTGGGGCTAAAATCTACTACTTTTTTCCCTTGTATAATAAATAACTATTTTTTACCTAATTAACAGTGGTTGTAGCTCGGAGGAGGTACATTTTAGGATACATGATTATATGAAGAAAACATCTTATTTTGATCCCAACAATATGTCCTCAAAATATTAACATCGAATCTTGAATCACCCTGCATATGTATGGGGTGGTCATTTGCAATCAAACTAACTGTATATGTGGTTATCGAATTGTTGATGTTTCAAAAATTATTCGATTTTTCTGAAAAACGCGACTCATTTGAAAAAATATAAATAACAAAAAGTCTGTTTTGAATCTGTATTAAATGGGCATCTTTTTCTTATAATTGGTTATCTTTATTAATCTTTCTTAGGTAATAGATAGGAAGTAACACAGGTCATAAAATTATTTCTGGGGAAAGATGCATCCATGCAGATGAAATTTGTTAAAGAAAAATTCACAAATGTGACATAGTTTTATTGTAATTTTTTACAAGTCTTTTCTATAGGAATGAAAAAAAAACTTTTGAACTATCAACAATTGCATAACCACATATACATTTTTTATGGCAATTAAATCATTATTGAATTACCTTGCCTAATTTTCCAATCAAGATAAACAAAGCTCTGAAATATCCTCCTACTTAACAACTTAAACCATAAGAAACATAACTAAGATCAATGATATGCTGGACAAAAACAGTGACCCACAAATCCTTGAAGGATTTGTGTGAGTACATTTCAATAATATACTTTTATGTTTTAGATACCATGTATAATTTATATTATTTTCTCGATTATTTTATATTCATAACCATTTTTGAAGAATTCCGACGGATTTGAAATGTTCTACAACATCACAAGGCTACAATTTCATCTGATTATGATCATAATAGTATGAAACTATACTAGTAGTTGAAGATGCAGACAAAGGATTGTATACCTCAGGCAGATCCACTCTGATAAATCCTTGGTTATACTTTTGAAATGTCTATTTTTTAAATTTTGTGGTAGTAAATTTAAGATTTTAGGTGCTGTATATGAGATGTGCTTATGTGTTGCTGAAAATTTGGCATTTGAGGGAATACAATTTTCGTTAGTTATTGCACATGTGATTCAGTTTGATTGGAAATGATCCCCCTACCACCAAACTTCTTTTGATCCATGATTTATAGGACACCCTGTATATGTACTCACTGTCAATTTTTTATTATTTGGTCATGTATTTAATAGGACTATGCCTAACAAAGCATATTTGAACTGTTTTATATCCTGCAATATTTTTATCATGACAAAATATTTCACCATACCAGTTATGACACTAGATGGCACCCTGTCATCTACTGGTGTGGGGGTCCACACATGAATTAATTATTCAATTCATGAATCAGTAAAGCCAAACTTTTTAATTCAAATATCCATTCTCAATAATAAAAACAATCAAACATCTATTATTCCTCATCTATCAGCCCTAAGTGATTAGTCTTCTCTCTTGATTTTTCAAATCTTGTCTTCCAGCATCTACTGTGTGTTCAGATCCCTACACTGGTCATGTGTTCATGACATCAATCAAAGGGAATATGTTAAAATTTTCAGACATTCAGATGGGAGGTGCAGCAAAAACAAATGATTCTTGTTGATGGATGAAAACTTCTAAGAGATTAGTTTCAATACTTATGTTCAGATTTCATATTATTAGCTGGATCATTAGATAAGACTGGTTTTCAGTATATGTACTCATTCCATTAATAAACCCATATATTCAGTATTTTTTTGAGAAGAATCAACTACTGGGAATTCTGAACTTTTTGTTGTCATCTACTGGTGAATTTACAGTCTCTAGTATGTCAAATAGTACCAATTGTTCAAATAATTCTGAATGACCATCAATATAGACCTTAACCATTATTTTGATCACTAACCCATAAAATGTGTTCAAAAATATGATCATATCATTACTGATTTTGGGATTATCATTACTTGAAGTGTCATCTACCAGTTTCCTTACATACTAAACTATAAAATATCAGGACAAAAAAATGATAATCCACTCAAATTATCATGAATCACTGTTTGGGAGTTCCTGTGGATTGAACAGAAGAATTTTTAGGTGAACAATTTTGATGAGATTTTCAAGTTATGGGATAAGACATACCATTGGGGCCTGAATTGCCAGTGAATACAGTGGGCTAACATGTTTCAACATTGAAATTTTGACAAAAAAATAATATAAAAAAAGTTGTTCATTTGCTCATTGACCTACAATATACTGTTATACATGTTATACAGAAAGAATTGCCTGTTTTCAACTGGGTGGTCAGTCATTTAGCCTTAAGTTAGTCTGCAAGTTATTCTCTTCCTTAATGAATAAACAAATAAACTCAAAGAGATGTCATGAAAAGCCTATTTGACTAAAGAAATTGTTCATGACTTTAATTATCACCCAGCTTATACTATATGATTGAATAGCATGAAACCTCACATGAAACCTTAAAATGTTTGAGCAAGAGAGGATCAGAAGTTTCTCAAGTGCAAGCAACTTGATTCTTTATCCCATTTAGCTGACCACAGCTGACCATGTCTAAACAGGGGTTCAACAATAATAAGAATTGCACTCACTTTGCTGTCATTTTTTAGTTTCTTCACCTCTTCAACAGGTTTAGTTTCTTCAACAGCATCTGCATATATAGCCATAAGATCTGACTCTGGAATTCTCACATCATATTTCTTGAAATTTATCACAGGTAACTACAACAAAGAATTTTCAGCTCATCACAAACTTCTATTCCCAATGTTTTGATTGTTTTTCACAGTAAGTATAAGTATTAGAAAGTACTATAAATAATATAAGACAATTAGGTATATACCTTGGGTAGCTCCAACATTTTTGGAAAGTCAAAATCCAAAACTTCCCCATTTTGGAATTTATGAATAATGCTTAATGGATCTTCCAATATTTCCTTCTTCATTTTCAGCACTTTGTTATAATCCTAGAAAAATGTATGACATTTTTCTTGTATTTTGAATACTGTACTATTGTACTATATATTGTGTCCTTACTTTTATGAATTTTTCTCTTTGGGCAGAAAGAATCACTATGGTTTTCAACACTTCACAGTAATCACTGTTACCCCTAAGAGCTAAATGGTCCGATTCAAAGAAAAATAATTCATTTTCAGAATTGAATAAAGGAGGACTAGACATAATTTTGAAGAGCTGTTAAAAGGTAAAGAAGTCTTCAAGCAAAATGATTCCACTTCCAATTTCGTTATCCTTATATTATGGATTTCCAGATTTAACTACTGACTTGCTAGAGGACATATTTGAAACTCAATTTCCCACTAAAATAAAATGTTATTATTTGGAATTATTTTTTAAGTTTTTTTTCATGTTTTGTTGACTTTCTTTTAACCTGAAAATATTTCTTCTTCTTATTTATTCAAGAACAATGTTTTTCTTCTTCTTTTGTGTTCATTGGGCTATATCCTTTCGACAGTCACTCTACTTTCGACAACAACATAGTAAGAGTGTATATTGTGGTAACAATTTCTCCAGATCAGGTAATAAATTGGTGATAATATTCTTATCCAACAAATATGTTGTTATCCGACCTGGGTACCGGCAGGAGCACGATTGACTTCAAGTATGGCCCCCTTATCCGGTGAATCCGTCATTATCCAGCATGGGTATCGGCGTAGAGACAAAAGAGCCTGATATTTTTCACAGAAACCTATCAAACTTCACATTGAATATTTCTTTGATCACTTCCACGGTCGGAAGGCGAAGAACAATGTTCATTGTTCATATTCATAAACATTTTGTCCGTTTGTGGCAAATGGAGCTTTCTGAAATGAAATGATGTGACATGTGACAAGTGGCATGTAATGCCAAATTTTTTGTATCGTGTCAATTCGTCAGCTGAGTTAATCTGTCAACTGTCTAACTGTCATTGTTCAATCGAATAATCGTTGTTGTTCGTTGTCCTGTGTCATGTATATTAATTATTAATATTAATCTTGTTTTTGTATTTTATTTGATGTCCATTTTTGATGATTTCCTTTAAATTTCAATAAAAGTGTAGTGATTACTTGCAAGATTAATTAATAACTGTTCGAAAATGGGGGACGGCAATGAAGGAGAAAATCAACCACTTCTAGCTACTGAAAGTACAACCTACAATGGAGATGTTTCTGGTAAGAACGTCAGAACAATAAAGTAATGAAAATCTATACTCAATAATTATGTATAACCAAAGCTCCTATCATTAAATGAAATTGCCAATTCTATTGAATACTCTAATAACCTCCCTAATAACTATAAATGGAGCACTAAATTCAGTTATAAAATCTATTTAAAATACTAGTTACACCAAAGTTCATTGAATTATGAATAGCAGGCAGGGATGTCTGAAAAGTTATGAATTAATTATGATAATTTTATGTAAACAATCATGTATTTATTATCTATTATTATCAGTCAGAGTAGTGTTTTGATATCTTTATTTATAGAGAAGTATTATTACAATTAAATTGGATTTAATTGAAACTATTATTGTGCTCTGAATGAAGACATATTTTCTTATTCAAAAGAGGATTCATGCACTACTTTGATGATGGTGTTTTGCACAGGTTTCTAGGAGAGCTAAGCCTTTGTCTGGAGCTTTGTCCTAGGAAGGTGACTAAATTACCAGTTATAAGAAATTAGATGCCTTGATGTTTATTAGATTTTTATAAATCTTTTCCTTTTGATAACTACAATTTTTGATCAATGATTAATGACTTGTTACTTATTGAATACCTATACCACAACACCAATAAACACACAATGTTTTGAGTTCTTGGTCAGGACCATCAGAGGTGTTGAATTCTTAACACTGTGACTCAACTTTAGACTTGAGCTATGAGGATAACATGACATAACAAGTTGGGACTTATTTACTATTATTCAACTATTAAACTGTTTATTTCATACTTGGGAAATGAATTCAAATGTTTGTTTAAACATTATCATCTACTTAAACATGTTTCAACATATCTCACAAGTTCATCACTGATGCTAAGCTAATACAAAGTTAGATGAATCTGCCATTACGCAGATTGATAAATACATTCATAATTTATTGGTTCCTCATTCAATATATTCAAAGCTGGGATTCAAATGAACAAACATGTCCAAGACACTTTATATCAAACAAAATATCCGAGGGGGAAACAACTACCCAAAATGTGTACACCATATTTTAATATCTGGTAATTGAAAAGTACTTAAAATACTTAAAACTGGTACTTAAGGTACTGTTAACAGGTAGTTGAATACTCAAGTACTTAAAACGAGACTTGACCGCTTATTAACTTGTACTTGAAGTGTAAAAAATGATACTTGAAAGTACTTAAAATTTCATGGTGTACACCTATTTAAAGAGTTGTTTCCTCCTCGAAAATATCACATAAAATATCACACACTAAGTGGAACAAAATATCACACACATATAGGGGAATAAATTAATACCTAAATAAATTAGTAAATTAATGTTGTATTGAAAGAAGCCTATATACAGGGTGGTCCAGGTTAAACGTCATTAGTTTTGATAAATGATAGAAACATAGAGTTTCATGAGAAAAATGTTAAAAATGTTTCTCAGTAATGGTACATACAGGGTGTCATTGATACCTTGATTTAGTTCTTAACGAGCTGCATTACATTTGGAACCAGCAAAATCAACACTGTAATGTCTAATTCCTAAAGATCATTGGAAGCCATTCACAACCTGTACAAAAGCCTTGAAGTGGAATTCCAGTTGTTTGTACACCAGAATTATACCTTACTTCACTCAAAGAATTCCAAGAAAATCCAAAGAATTCCAAGAAATTCCAAGGAATTCCAAGAAAATCCAAGGAATTCCAAGAAAATCCAAGGAATTCCAGTTGTTTGTACACCAGAATTATACCGCACTTCAATCAAAGAATTCCAAGAAAATCCAAAGAATTCCAAGGAAATTCACGGAAATCCAAGGAATTCCAGTTGTTTGTACACCTGAATTATACCGCACTTCACTCAAAGAATTCCAAGAAAATCCAAAGAATTCCAAGGAAATCCAAGGAATTCTAAGGAAATCCAAGGAATTCTGAAGAAATCCAATGAATTCCAAGGAATTCCAAGAAAATCCAAGGAATTCCAGTTGTTTGTACACCAGAATTATACCGCACTTCAATCAAAGAATTCCAAGAAAATCCAAAGAATTTCAAGGAAATCCAAGGAAATCCAGGTAATTCCAGTTGTCGGTACACCAGAATTCCACCGTGGTGTACCCCTCGTATATATCACATACTACCAAATATCTATATAAAAAAATCAGAAAATATCATCAATATGAATTTAAGTACTTTTGTTCCTTGCTGGTGACAGAACATTTACTATTCATATAGGACAATGCAATGGCACATAACAAAAATTTAAAATGTATAATGAAATGTTTTTAAGTACAACAATTACAAATATAAAACAACAAACAACATAATATATCAAAGGAGGTATATGAGGGCTTATTTTGATCGCATCTGGCAGTGTATTGAATGCTTCCAAGCACCCATATATCGGGTTATTTCAATTTGAATAAGTATCTCAAAATGGAGCAATAAATCGAAATTTTGAGAGGTATTTTTATTTTCTTAATATTACAAGGAATCCGTAAATAGAATATTTCTTATATAATGTCCACTGTCTCTTAAGAATGGGAAACGTAGAAGGAGCTGCTGACCCCCCATTCCCATTATCTATATTATCATTATCTATTAATCTCTTCAAATGATTTCAATCATTCAGAAATGTACTACATTAGTCTCGATTAGTCTGTGTACGGATTGACATTGCTGTTATGGTTTGAAAATTACTATGAGAAAACCAGTTTTTGCCCCAAACTGCCTCCAGAGTATGCCCTTTATCGATATACACCCTTCATCGAGTGTACACCCTTCATCAAGAGTACGCCCTTCATCGAGAATAGGCCCTGCTACAGGGACGTATTAATTCAATTTCCACGCGGTGTGGTTGAAATTATGTTCCGTTGAGCGGAATTTTCAGCAAAAATAGAATCTTTTTTATAAAGATTGGGACAGGTAGAAGGAGCTGCTGACCCCTCCATTATCTATATTATCCTCGATATTATCATTATTTATTAAATTCCTCAAATGATTTCAATCATTTCTCAGAAATGCACTACATTATTCTGTGTGCGAAATTTGGTCGAAATCGCTGATATAGTTTGAAAATTGAGAAAACCAGTTTTTGTCAAAAACTGCCAATACTGCCTCGAGAGTAGACCCTGCCTGGAGAGTAGGCCCTTCATCGAGAGTAGGTCCTGCCTCGAGAGTAGGACCTGCTACAGGGGCGTACTAATTCAATTTCCGCACGTTTCAGTTGAAATTTTGTTCCGTTGAGCACAATTTTCAGGCAACGACCATACCACGTTGTATATACCCAACCTCGTCTGAAAAGGAGGTTTTTGTTTTTTGATATTTTATTTTTGTCGAAAAACACAACACACACCACTGATAATGATTGAACAACTCCCCAACCCCTTGGGTACCCCCAGTGAGATTACCTATAGAAAGGGCTCAGCCCCAGGAGTTAGGCCTCTGTGACGAACACCTCGCATACATTCCTTTGGCCAACACCAGCCACCTCTGTCTCACCCGGAAGATATTATATATACTGTTCCTAACTTGTACTTGTACATAAAATCTTTATTTATACAATGTGAATTATGTGAATGTCAGTGGCGGCTCCTCAGAGGAGGCAACGGAGGCTGAGCCTCCTCAGAGATTTTCCCTAAACTGATATTATCTATACTTTCTCTTTAAAAGGACACCAAAATACATAGATTTTGATTTTATTTCCTGTTTTTAGGTAAATATTTTTGAATTGGCAACAGTGCTTGCCCACGCATCACACGTTGAAGTCTGCAAATCACGCGTAAAATATTCAACTTGGCAACATCTATAGGGGGCTAGACTCCCTCACAACCCATGCGCGTAATGCAAATGCCCGAATAGCACGTGTTTGTCGTGTCGCGACGCGAATTGCGGACAATCCAGCGCGAGTGCATTGTTTATGTTTATGTTAGGTTAATAGTTAGGGGCTCTATAAATTTCTGAAAAATGAGTGTTTTAAACGATTGCGATTTAGTGGAATACTTTTTGGTGAACCCATTCAGTGCTTTGTCTTATGAAGATAAATTGATTGTGAAAAACAAACGTCCGACACCGGAATTAAAAAACCTGATTGTAACAGGTAACAAACAAAATCGTTCGTTCAATTCTGATAATTATTAAAAATATATCTGGTTGACGGGATCTGAGGTAAGGAATAAGCTATTTTGTTGGTACTGCGTATTATTCTCAACCGATAAGTCATCATGTTGGGGGCGATTATGATATAATGATTTAAAAAATTTGCCTCGCGGATTGGATAGACACTGCAGATCACAGGAACACATCTCTTCCAGTATTAAGTTCAGGTTAACTGGTAAACAGAATGTCATTAAAGCAATTGATTTGGATGAGTAGAGAGTTGTTTTTCACAATAAATCTCATATCATTGAACCTCCTCTGTCATGAAAGTCACGAGCCGCCACTGGTGAATGTTACTGTGTATTGTGAATATTATATAGAGAAAGAATAAACGACTACGACTAGGTCATAAAGACTGTTGTAATTAATCCAAATGCACTGTTCTGATCATAGATTCACAGGAATGGCACTCGAATCTAGTAGGTATTTATCAATAACGACTTGTCATATGATGTCATGGTCAAGGCTTATTATTAAACATAGTGCTTTCATAGTGAATAGGACCATATTTCGGTTTCACAGAACTAAAATGATTGAAATATGTAGATAGTGGTGAAAAAAATTCAATATGATCCTTGGTAGTAAAGAATATTATTACCATGGGATCGTATACCTGTACCTGGGTATTAATGATATTCTTTACTACCTTGGTGTATAAATAACTATTAATACAACCTCCTCTGAACTTGGGATCTGAGGTTTTCTAATGTACGAATATTTGGTCCAATATAGACAAGGAAATCACTGAGTTTGTTGACATTATTTCGACAAAAAAAATCATAACTTTTGATATGATCGAGATATAGTAAATGATCTTGGGGTGGATGGAGGTAACAGGAAAAAAAATGTCCCCGACTGTCTTTAGATTGACGTATTTCGACAACTAAGTTGCCATCTTCATCTAATATTTATTTTTCAGTTCTAATCGATATGGCAACTTTTGCCAAAGTACTTATTTAGGCTTCATTCTCGGCTATATTAAATATTGATGTGGGATTTTGGGTATATTTGGTATTTGATTATTCAAGTACAGTTTCCAAAACTTCACTTCATGGTCATTAGTATTTTTTTTCTTTAATTTTTTTATTTCGGAGTTTGACCAAATGCTTATGGACACCATGAATGAACTGATCCTAGTGTGGGAGTCCTTATATGTAGGTGTAGTCACTAAACATTCCACCCCCTGCCAAGCTCTTCTGACTGAAGTCTTCGATGACATTTACACTTATGGTTGCTCTTTACTAACCAAAGTTGATTTGGCTCCAAATTGAACCAAAGTACCAATACATCTCAGTTGCTTGGTACACTAATACTTGGATTGATCCTATGATTGATTATAATTAATATTCTTGTTTGGTTTATCCTCGGATTTATCTCATTCGAAATTTTCTAAATCTGATTGATTTTTTATGAAAATATTTGGACCTTGTTTTTTTTCTCATTTACTGTAGGTCAACAAGCTACCGTCTCTCCCATCGGCCCAGATGAGCTTCCTCCGCCATTTTACCAACCTACAGAGGGCGGAGGAGTACCTATGGTCACATGCAGAGTCTGTCAAGCTATGATAGATATATCAGGAAAAAGGGATCAGCATGTCGTTAAATGTGCTCAGTGCAATGAAGCCACGGTAAGTTGCCATGGACATTTGAATCTGAGGTTTTTCTTGCTCTCAATTATTTTTTTGGATATAACTGTTTTTGATTCAGGGTTGCAAACAGCATACTTGCTCATTTCCTAGGAGGGGTACCCTGTAATGGTTCAATCAAATCTGATGTGAGCAAAAAATACTTCATCAAAAATACGGGAACCTCCGAACAAAATATAAACATTTCATTGAGATATCCTCGGAGATATCAATAGCAAAAAAGTTGTTCTGTTTACATGAAAATTTAACAACCTGTATCTCGGGAATGAATCGTTTTTATATGTGTTGTTTGGTTCCAAAGTGTTTTTCTCATGGTACTATATCATTACAATAATTATATCTAAGTTTTATTGCATATATTCGTTATATCATCGAATGATATACCTCCTGGACACAAATGGGGCATCAACAGATTTTCAACCATATACATGAATGTATAAACACATGACAAACCTCGTAATAATATTGATTCAGATAGTTGATATATGCAATCTCAATGATCAAAATTGTCAGATAAAAGTTTTATATAATTGGATTCAAGTTTTTTTTTCTGCTGAGTGGAAGCAATATTCAAGATGATGCTTTACTGCCTTCTTGAATTGCGTGAAACAAAGGTTTTGTCCTTGCGTAAAAAAATATGAAGCGACGTTCAGTGTGTTCTTCTTAGTATGCTTTGTATAAAGTCCTAATCAGAGTTTCCAAATTTGGCAGTCTATTTCAAATGTTTGATATTTCGCCTATATTCAAGTGATTTTTGCTTTCGGGTTCAAAGCAATTATCCATGTAGCTCCAAATGCATGGTTAAAAGAGTTTTACTCGTTCTTTTTTTTCATATTTTTACTAGATAGGTTATCTTGTGAATATGGATGAAAGGAAGTGAAGAAACAGTTTCAGGTTTAACTCCGTTGAAATGTGTCAAGGGACAGACAAGAATCAATGGTTCTAGAAAAAAAAAACGGTATTGACTTAGGATATAGATGCAATGATTGCAATGATGACACTCAACTCTAAACTTCAGACAAAATGGTGATAAGCACTGAATTTCAATTTGTATCGAAGAATTTTAGTATGATCGGCGTTTTGAACAAACATTCTCTATATCAACCTAACCTCTCACAACTTGACACTAGCGTCTAGAGACAGAACTTAGACTGAACGCATCAAATATTGCGAGTGATTCCGACCACTGACGAGACGAGATTCTAGATAGCAATCGATGTATTGGCACGTATAGTTAGTTGCATAACCGACTGCAAATGAAAATATGACATGAAAATATTGTTTTATTCATGAAGTAATGAGTGAAATAATTTTGACTAATGAAACTCGTTTCATTGATTATTATCGAACATCCCTTATATTTTTCAAAACAAATCGAAGGGATTTGTGAAGGGTTTTTCAATAAGGACGGGTCGATAGTGAAAATGAACTAAACAAGCTATGGGCGAGGTATTAACGAAATTCTTTCTTTATTTGAAAGGACAATGTATGCCATTATGTTTGGAATATACATCGTTCAAATGTCTGCCGCGGCTTCTCTTGGTGGTACGTATCTGAATGGTCCAATTTCAAATGACTGGCGCATAGATCTGGCTGAATTTGAGCGATAGTATTAGTTATGTTGGCTTCAAGGGCATTGGTCGATTGTGGCTTATTTGCATAAACCTGCGACTTCAGGAATCCCTACAAGAAGAAGTCTAACGGGGTCAAATCGCATGATCCTGGTGGCCAATTGACGTCACCTCTGCGAGAGATAACCATACACCATACCCTCAAATCGTGTGGCACGTTAGCACCATCCTGCTGGAACCACATACCGTATACCTGCATATCGTTCAATTTGGTCCGAAAAAAATCAGTTAGCATCGTTCTGTAGCGCTCGCTGTTGATGGTGATGGCCTCACCAACGTCATTTTCAAAAAATTACGGACCAATGACACCGCCTGCCCAAAATCTGCACCAAACAGTAACTTTAGGTTGGAGTCGTCCCATATACGGCAATTTTGCTTTTTGACATAACCAATCGTCCAAAAATTCGCCTCGTCACTAAAGATGATGTCTGAAGCATATTCAGCGAACAAACGGCGTTATCTATGGTCATTAACTGTAAGCTCCTGGGTTAGTTGAATTTTGTACGGGTGAAGGACTGAGCCTCGTCGCAAAATTCGACAAGTTGATGTTTGCGAAAGGCCGAGTTCTTGTGCACGGTGAGGAATGGAATGCTTCGGGTTTTCCTGTACACTTTCATGGACCGACTGATCTGATCGACTGATCTGGCGTTCCTCTGACATAAGGGTGTTGGCTGATTGCTTACCGAACCGGTTGTCTCGAATTTGGTCACCAAACGTTGGAGAGTCGATTTTGAAGGGCCACCGTGTCAGCCGTAATATTGGCGCAACGTGCGCAATGTTCGCACTAACGAACACTCATTTCGATAATTAGGTTTTATCATTTGGGCCTGCTGTTCAATCGTGTAACTGACCATGGTGATTTGGCATCAGTGACTGAATAAAAAACACCATCTTGAACAGACGCCACCAAAACAACATCGACCTGTCCCAATTGGAAAACCCTTTATTTCGATAATCATCAATACACCTGTTGTATTACATACGACAAATCTATGTGTAGCCGATAAGGAACGCCCCGCCTGGCAAGAAGTACGTTCGCTGCCCGTGCAACTGCCTGCTGATCTGCAAGTCGTCGTCGCAGCGCATCGCCTGTCCGCGGCCGAACTGCAAGCGGATCATCAATTTGGCGCCCAGCCCGGTCACACCGCCGGTGCCCACCATGCCGGGGATGTGCAGGGTGACTTGCGGCCATTGCCACGATACTTTCTTGGTAAGAAACAAGTCAAGACGAATCGGAGACTTTATTTAAAATCCGGCTACACAGTCTGTATAATATTTCTTTGCCTGTGACTGAAATTAGCATAGACCTACGCGCAACTTGCTATCCTCTTCAGAGCAGCAATGTCTATCATGACGTTTGTTGACATAAGTTACGACATCGTTTTTGAACTCAACGGGTTAAAAGCTTGAATACAGAGGTGTTCGTATGTCGAGACACATTTGAATCGGCTAATTCAGAGGCGTGCAGTAGGTGCTGAAATGACATCGTTTTGCGTGACCATTGTCAAATATTCAACACGAAGTCTTGTATCGAATTTTTTACAATATTTCACAAGAGAAAAAGATAATAATGGTCCTTTAATCCCGTTTACTTCCATACAACAGGTAAATCATAATTCTTCCTGATCAATAATAAAAATAGTTAGACCTTACTTCAAGAATATCATCATGATGTACATAATTTTAGCGTGTCGCTGATGCCGTCAATATTAATCTGTGGACAGTTTCGAGTATTAAAGTACGTTCTGAGGGAAACGAAAGTTTGAGTACGATTGGGAAATCTAGACAAGTCAGTAGATCTGGATGATAATTTGAAAATGGAAGTAAGCAATGTGATCTATACTATGTATGCAAAAAGTAAGTGATTTCATTTGATACTTCTAGACTACCTTCAACTGACTATTTTACAGAAAAACACATCACTTAGGATCTTGAAAGAAGAACTCAGAACTCAGCATATTCTTGATGCAAGTATAGGCACATTGAGCAAACTTCTCACAAATGTAGGATTCAAATATAAAAAAGAAGACAACAGACGGTTATTGGTTGAGAAGACGGACATATCTCTAATGAGAGCAGAGTTTTTCAGAAAGTTTTATGAAAATCGCAATTCTAGTTTCCCTAGACAAATCGTCTTCTTAGATCAAACTTGGTTATTTGCCAAAGGGAATAAGATGAAATCATGGCAAGATCAAAGTACAAAAAGCGTTCGTAAACCAGAAGGTTATGATGGGAAACGATTTATTGTACTTCATGCTGGCCATAGTGGTGGTTTTGTGGAAAATGCTGCATGGTATTATACCAAATACCTAAAACGACTCAACAGTGTTCGGCTTTGCCACGATCACAGAATACCTCACAAAAGCATTAAATAGGTGTGTATATCGGGTCATATACCAACCCATACGTATATACATGCCAAAGTTCTGATACATGTTTTGCCTTCAATAAATTGACGAATTAAAGAGTTGAAACTTGAAATACATACCAATCCTATGTTTTATCGAATGTCAAAATTACCAGGAGTATTGAATAAAAAATTTCTGAATATTATTATTTATTTCAACCCAATTTCTGAAACAGCACGGCACTGCTTCACTGGAACATATGACCTTGAATTGATTTGATTCGTTTCTTGAAGTTGTGACGGACCCGCAAAGAAATATTATACAGACTGTATGCAGTTTTCGATGCTTTTGCGTGATATCTCATAGTGTATTCGACTGGATTGCACTCACACCGTATGCGTATTTAGCACTGCACTGACTTCGGACAGTATTATTAGGAGATAATGCGATTTATACTGGCACTGTATGAATGAAGTTCAATATTGACATTATGAATATTCGACTGGTATGTTCAGGACAGCATGCTGTTGGATCCTAAGGCTGGATCAAGCTGTATCTAATAACCAAAGATCTAACTTCAAAATTGTCAAATTATCAAGTTAATTCTTAAATATCGAAGTATGGAGCGAATATTTACTTGCAGCATGATAATTATGGAAATATTTTGTGAATAATCAGATGTTTCATTGCTGTATAGTATATGATATGAAAATAATATGTCAATAAACACCACTAACTTTCAGTCCATGACTTTAACACCGTCAAAAGTTATTGTGCGAGAACATACGAATTAAAAACAAGTGCTTTTACCAGTCGAACATAAATTCTTCTCTATCCTTGGGTAGTGCCTGTTCAGCCGAATATGAATATTATTGATACTGTCTGAGTGGATACCACCCGAACTTACACGCACGACAAAAATTGGAATTAAATGCGACTTAGTGCCGCCAGTTGAATCTTGCGGTTTTCGCGGTCCTGTGCCACTTTTTTGTGAAAAGATGGGCTTATCAGATTTTGTATAAATGTTTCCGTTTATGAGATACAGGATACAGGGCGATTTTTAAAATTTATACTTTTTGAACCCCTCTATATCTACGGAGTTTCTCAGCGAAAATGTCCAATTAAACTTATCCTATAAAGACTTTTACGCAGAATCCAGTGGCGCACTCAACTTTTTTGTTTTGTGGTATGGTTTCGGAGATACGACTCAAACTTATGATTTTTCAAATGGAACACCCTGTATTTTGTAAGCTCATTGAATTCCGTATTATGTTTCCTTCAAAATTATATATAATGTATCAATATAACATTTTCAAAAATGCTCCAAAATCACTAAAACATCAAATTTGAATATAGTGGGCTATGGATTTTTCATATGAAAAAAGTGCCAATTGAAGGAATATTTCTTTATTTCCATGAAGAGGACCGAAACGATTCCAACACTAATTAACTAACAAAACACTAAACTTAAGTACAGTGTCTCCAGAAAACATGTCGTACATGGACGATGATAGTATTCATAACAACTCCTGCAATAAGAGCGCTGACACCGTCCAACCGTGACATGATCTCTGAAGACGACTGTATCTGATAGCAACAAATATATAGCAATCAAAAATTCATAATGTAGAATAAGCACCTGATTAAATATTTACTAGAATATTAGAATTTAGAAATTATTCAGTAACTTATTCATTGAGTTGTTCAAATTGATGTGGTGAAGTTGGGTGATTATTAAACTTAGCTTTATCATGTATTGGAATGAAGTGTGATTCCTTCTTAACACAATGATTTTTGATTCACGTCAATATCTTCTTGTAAGAGATATAAGATATCAGTGATTTCAGAAAGTATGGATTTTCAAGTTTTAAATATAGCTTGGCTCAGAAAAAAAACTTCTGTACCTTGCTTACTATCTCACTTCATTTGGAACATCGTTTTTATGTGTACATTTTGAGTAGTGCCAATGTTTGAATATTCATACAAAAGAAATGTAGTGTGACGCGACTGTTTGTATTTCAGAGAATACTATGAGTGTGGAAATCACTCGTTTAGTGAAAGGGTACAGAAAATAACGTGAATCCCTCATTATAAGCAACCATGAATGTAGATATCACATATAATTCTGTTATATTCTGTTCGCGATAAAAAAATAGCTTCGCCCCACCTGTCGGCAACAACTTGAATACTTCTAAGCGGTTTGTTTTGATGATATTGTCACAAACTGTAGGCGGGGGTTGCCTAAGTTGTGTTCTAGATCCATTTGAGAATGAACTTCAAAAGTGAGAATAATAAGTAATACTCAGAAAGGTGTTCAAACAAAACATGAACACACATTTATTCTTGGCAAAGAATAACAATGAAATCAAAACTTAACTTAGCCTATATGTACATACTAACTGGTATTTCTGAGGAAGGACATCTTCTGTTCTGCCCGAACTCCGAAGGTTCGGGCACAGTCTCAACTTTTCAAACTTACAACTGAAAGGACTCAAACTTTCCGGACTCGTCCTCAAAAACCAAAACTAGAACTCCAACTGGCAGTCCAGTCGATCTCTCGAACATGCTTCCTTACGTCTTTTAAATAGTTGTCTATATTTTCGGAAACGTGACAATAAGGAAATCAGGTCGATAGTCCAGGTTCGTTGAAGTCAATGTCATGCCTGTGTTTATGTTCAACTACTATGGAAAAAAGTTCGTTCACGATTCGAAAATTTTGGAATTAATAAACAGAGACGTGACCGTTCAATGACTTCGAACCTTCTATGAATTTGAATGAAATTAAGGAAAATAACCCTATTCGTGACAATATGACCAATAAGCACAAACAAACAACAAATGTGTACCCATAAAAACAAAGCAAACAGGCCGCTTTGACAGCTTTCAAGAACTCCGATAGGTGGCGTACGCTTATTATCTATCGCCAATAATATCCCTTGATAGATAGATAGATAGATAGATAGATAGATAGCACTTTATTTCCAACAGGTATACACCCAATTACAGGAAATGTTATAAGTAACGCTAGTTGTACAAAACCAAAATTATTTCTTAATCAAAATTAAAAATAAAAAGGTATACTATATATATATGAAAATCCCAAACAATGATGAAAGAATAGAATATTAATGTAAAAAATAAAAAAAAAGAGAAATATATCAGGATTACAGTTGAAAGGTTCTTTGGAGAATACATTTCAAAATTGATTTTAGGGTACTATTATTAATATCGCACATATTACATATTAAATTGAAATTGTTACACAGTATTGTCACGGATGCCCTAAGACTAATATTTGTTCTACTATTTTCACAATAGAATGTCATTTCATGTCTAGTATTCATACGTGGAGTGTGGAAATTGATATTTTCTAAAAGGGGAGCACATGATATCTTGTTATGTATCAAGTTGTATAGAAATGAAACTGTGATAATGATTCGTCGTGTGTTCAAAGAAATAATATTGAATTGATTCAAGAGAATTGTATAATCAGTTCCTCTTCGGGGATATACTCTTGTAACTTTAAAAGTTAAATGCTTCAAGAATTTTTTTTGAACTGATTCAATGTGACTTATATGTGAATTATAGACAGGATACCATATCAACGCTCCATATTCTAGTTTAGACCTTACATAGGCATTGAAGAGTGTTATGAGTGTACTTGTATTTGTAAATTCTTCCGTGTTTCTCATTATGAAACCCAGCATCTGGTTAGCTGATGAAACAGCCTGGTCTATGTGTGATACAAAATTGAATTTATGGTCGAAAACAATACCGAGATCTCTCATGTCCTGAACCCGGTTGATTCGATGATTGTTAATTTCGTAAGAAAATTCTATTATGTTATTCTTTCTTGAAAATGATAAGATATGACATTTAGAAATATTTAGATGTAAATGATTTCTCTATGTCGATTTCATTCTGTAAGATTAGACAATCTTGATATTCTTCAATAACTTTGAACAGCTTCAAGTCATCGGCGTAAAGAAGTTTTGAGCAATTGACCTTTTTAGCTAAATCATCAATAGAGAGCAGGAATAATAGAGGTCCTAAGTTAGAACCCTGTGGAACTCCCGAGCTAGGGGTGTATAGGGGTGACTGATAATTTTCATATTCGACATATTGCTTCCTGTCGAAGAGATAACTAGTAAACAATTCCGACCAACCTTCTCAGTTCAACACCTTGAACAACGCTCTGGCCCGCTGCCCCCACTGCCGCAAGGTCTCCTCCGTCGGGCTGGACTACGCGCGAGGCAGAGGCAACGTGTTCCTCGTCTTCGCGTTCGTGTTCCTCGTCATCGCAGTGGGCGTTACAGCGGGCACCTACACGTACGCCCAGCGCCACAACAGCGTCTACGTGGCGTATGTCGGAGCTTTCCTCTTGGCGCTCATCATGCTCGTGCGGAGCCTCTATTACTATTTCATGAAAGTGAGCATCATAGATGGACCGATGTAAGGTTAGCTAGGGACAGTGATAACGACGAGATTGGGTGAATGAATAAAATGCCCTGCGAAAAAACGGCCATTGAAAGAGTAGTGTATCCTGTATAAGCTTAAATTACAATTTGAATTTAAATGTCGATTACTTCTTCGTTATGTATCAACCTATATTTAATAGAAGCAATCTAAAGAATTTGATGAACGGTTTGGATAAACAGTCATTATAAAATTTTGGACTAATTTTCAATGGTCTGTTTTTCTGCAGGCTAGCACTATTACTGTTGATAAATAATCTTTATTGTATAGGAATAAATCTATGCTTCTTATTTTATGTAATAATCAATACCGTGTAGTGATAATAGGTTATATCCTTCTTCCGTGAGTCCATCAGCAAGGCGTCTTGGTTATGTTATGTCATATTTTTTGTATTGTCGACTACTTTCGAAAATATTTCAGATGTTTTTGAGTAGAGTGGTGTCCCTTTTCAAGACTGGTGACAAATTGAAGGTTTTAGTTGATAAAAAGTCCATACACGTTAGCATCGTTCTAAATGGGGGCAAATAACAATGAGTTGATGAATGATAATTTTTGATTTATTCGTCTCAAGGTGTCATGAGAATTCTTAGTTTTATGGATACTTTAGTGTCAAAAATATTATATTATTATTACCCAGGGACTCAGATTAGACCCAGGGACTCAGATTAGATCCAGAGACTTCAGCCAAGTGACGTAGGGACCATAATAGGGTAAAACTGTATTTATCATGCGATGGTTTTTTTTCGAATTTTTTATTGTACTTACGTATTTTTGTCTGAAAAACACGAATTTGACAATGAAAATGTGAACAAACTATTAATCATTAGGTATTTCACTAAAAAGTTACAAATTCCACCTTCTTTTCCGCCTGTCTTCTGGATCGCATTTAGAACAATTTGCCCTTCATTTTTCATCATTGGACAATTTATATATATCACAATGTATTCGACAGATTTTTTTTCTATTATATGAGTCAACTAGGAATATGATTTTCTTGTGATTTATCCATATTTAGTGAAAAGAAGGATGAATATCATATAAAATAATGGCGTGTGTAATGTCATTCAAAAGCGATCTGTTGACATTTGACATCTCGTATTTGGATTGACTATTGATCTCAAATGGCCGTCATTTGGTATGCTTGTTCACTAAATATGAAAAACTCGCCATAAAAATCATATTTCCTGTCGAATTTTCTATATAACAATGTGTCATTGAAGTGCATCATGAGTATATAAAGTGTCCAATGACAAAATAAGAAGAGCAAGCTGAAAATGCATCCAACACAAGTGGAAAAAGAAAGGCGAAATTTCGAACTTGTTCTTGAAATATCTCGATAAATAGTGGTTTGTTCACATTTTCATTATCAAACTCGTGTTTTTCAGACAAAAATACGTAAGTACCAAAAAAACTTTTCGAAAAAAAAACCGCATGATGAATACAGTTTTACCAATAATAGTAAATAAGATACTACCTACCATGTTTTTAGTTTAGTCATTCAGTGGTTATTTTCATGGATTTCGACAGTCTCTTTTCGAATTTCCACTTTTCCGCTCGCTCCGTCTTATGGGAAGAACGGCACCCAAAAACAGTTTTTCGACAATATCTTATAGTATGAAAATTCGGAAATGCATAGTTTTAGTGTACGAGCGCCGCAAAGTCTACTCCAACAACCAATTATCGCACCACATTGAAATAGTTTTTTGAATTGACTCGGCCGTTACTCAATGGAAATCCATGGCAAATGTTAAAACTTCACAAACCATAAGATTTCCACAAAATTCTCTTACACACGACATGTTTCGCTAACACAGTAACTTCGTCAGGTGATATGGTACAATGAACTAAACTACTTTCCCAATCTGAAGGATTAGTTACCTATGGACAGGTTCGATAAACCTTTATTTTCGGAAATTAGGCACAATATCTACATCAAAATACATTGTACCGGATTAACTTGAGAGGGTTGATAGCAAATTCATATTATTATCTGCTAAGAAAACAAATTCAACAGTGGTGAACTATTGAGGTCTTATTGATCGTTGAGTAAAACGTCAGAATTTTTGAGTTTGTTGATTTCTAATGATTCAAAATGATTGAGTTTCATTCCTTAATTTTCTACGTGTAGAATTTCAAAATTATCATCAAAACTATGGTTTTCTTTTAATATATGGTTGGCGTATGTTGAATTTGTTTTCTTTTTCAAAAAATTCATCTTATGTTCATGAATGCGCTGATTAAACGTACGAATTGTCTGACCGATATATACCTTAGGACAAGATCCACAGTTGAGTTTGTATACTTACCCCTGATTTTTCGAATTTACAAGTTCCGTCTTTATTATTTTTGATAAACCTTCCCAACGTGTTATTTGTTATTAGTGCTACTCTGTTTATGTAGAAATGAAGCTAATTTTTTAGTTGATGATCCGAAATAGGTTAAAGTTCTATAATTTTGATTATTTTTGATGGTAGGATACACTTCTGGAATAGCTTTCCGTTGTTGACTGCAGTCTATTTTATGACATTGAGTTCTTCATTGAAATTTACTTCCGAAAGAGAGAAATTCACTAGCATGTGTATCATACTATTATATGCTGCAATTTTATGTTGATAAGGGTGTGTTGAATTATTATGAATAGTGATATCAGTATGGGAAGGTTTATGGAAAATTGAAAAATCATGTTTATCATTAATTTTACTTATTGTCAAATATAAGAATTTTTTTGACTTTTCTGTTTCCATTTCCATTGTGAATTTTATGTTTTTAATGAATGTTTTTATGAATTTTTTGAAAAAGAAAACAAATTCAACATATGCGCCAACCATATATTAAAAGGAAACCATAGTTTTGATGATAATTTCGAAATTCTACACGTAGAAAATAAAGGACTGAAACTCAATCATTTTGAATCATTAGAAATCAACAAACTAACAAATTCTGAAATTTTACTTGACGATCAATTAGACCTCAATAGTTCACCACTGTTGAATTTGTTCTCTTAGTAGGTAATAATATTTTTCTACTCACATAACTAAAATGGCATTTAGCGTACGGATATGTACCACGCTAAATGATCTGTGATTTATTCAAAATATTAAACACGTTACCATGGCAACACGATTTCTTAAACACATTACCATGGCAACACAGTTCATTAAACACAGCTTCAGTAATTTGAGACATGTCTGGCCTGTTCATTGTATTAACTGTCAACTGTTATTTTCAAATTTTGTATCAGAATTATTCAAACAATATTCGTTTGTATCATAATTCTTCATTAAAAATATATGCGAAATGTAGACGAAAGTGGAATCGTAGAGAATGTTCTGGTACTTGCATATCTCCAAGAAGTGTATAAATGAAACATCCATCTTTGAGAACTGATTTATTCTGCGCTAAGCACGACAATAAACGTGAATGGTGAAACAAAGGTTAGTAAGCAATGGACTGGACACATCTACAACCAATATCACTTATACGTGTCTCGCTGGTTGCATGCAGTTGCATGTATTATGTTCTCAATTCCCATTCCTTTCGAATTATTTTGTAGTTTAGCAGGAGTGTTAATGTAATTTTCGGAGTTCGTAGAAAAAGCATAGTATGTAACGCGTTTATAAACTCTTCTAGACACTCGTTTATTAAACACTCGCTCCGCTCTGCTCCGCTCGTGCTTAAAATACTCGTTACTAAAAGGACGTTTATAACACTTGTTACATAATATACTATTATTTGCTATCAACCCTTTCAAGTTAACCCGGTACACCATATTTTAATGTAGATATTGTGCCTAATCTCAGAAAATGAAGGTTTATCGAACCTGTCCACGGGTAACTTATCCTTCAGGTTGGGAAAGTAGGATACATAAAAGTAAAGCAAGCCAAGGTTAGTTTAGTTCATTGTACCATATCACCTGACGAAGCTACTTGCACGTTTTCTGTGGTGTTTCCAGTAAGCCTTTTCCTCTTGTGATCCACTGATTACGATGTTAAGTGCATTCTCTTTCACTTCGCTATACATATAGAGCTTCGCATTAGTAAGATTTAAAATAACACGTCGCCCCACCTGACGTCAACAACCTGAACACTTCAACTTCTGAGCGTTTTGTTTTGATTAATGTGACCAATAAGCACAAACAAAAATGTGAACCAATGAAAACAAAGTGAACAGTCCCTCAATTTCGAAAATTTGCTCGATGTTTTCGATTGATGAGATTAACACACTGATGGTCGAACTCCGCTAACAGAGAAAGACGGATTAGCTGTATCACTGATGAGTAAAAAAAATTTGTTAGCAGTAGTAGATATGCCGCGAATATTTTCGTACCAATACGGTACTCTTATAATTTTAGTTCTGAAATTTTAGTTATCTATGTGTTGGGTCTTGTACACATCTTTGTTGAATAACTGATCCATTTGAAATATTTTCCAAAGTTACTGTATTCTTGTGACATAACTGTATAACCATTGACGATCTGAATGTCAAACTCTTTTTATTTAGGTCAGCAATGGTACATATAATAGATAACTTTGCATGATTTTTCAAATATTTTCAAAAATAAAAAAAGCAAGTGCTTTTGAATTAAGTGAATCATGCTTTTGATTTGGAAATTACTGGTGAAAATTCGTGAAATTCATATTATCCTGTTATAGTAGAATCTCTGTGTTGCTGGTATACAGTGTGTTTATAAGGTCAACTACATGCTTTTGAAAACCACTTGTCCAACAGCCATGAGATAAAAATACCATGATTATAAAAATGGCAACTCAAATAAAATATTAGTTCATATCGCAAATATTCTAGTGGCCAGTCCAGTTATATCATATTTTGTTGTATGAAAACCGGTAGGCGACTTCAATCAACAGTCTACATACCTTAAATATAAGGGTTTGTCATAGACATATTATTATGCTACGGGAAATGAATACTTTTGTGCTATATCTTTGATACCATATTTCCCACTAAAGTGTGACGACTTTT